TTAGTGATCTGAAGAGAAGGTTCCGAAGTCGAATGTTCAACCTGGCAAACGTAACAGAAAAGACTCCTCCACGAAACCCAATGGCTATGGAGCTATAAAAACAAAAAAAAGTGATACATTTTCAAAGAAAAATGTGTTTCACTATAAAATCGAAATCTCTATTAGTGCTGCTGTCTATAAAAATGAGTAATTGAAGGGAAAAGTCAAATCCAGAATTGCTCACCTGACCAAAGCCAGCACGCTAAGAGTAATCATTGGTTTGGCAAAATGATCCATGCTTTTCTGGATAACTATGCCATCTATTGCTTGCCCTGTGTAATAAGGTATAAATGCTTCACCTATGGAGAGGAAAATAAAACGTGTGCTGAAAAGTACTAGAGATGAGAACAATATGTTGAACAATCTAAAGTGGTAGATGTGCAACCATCAAAGTGTGACAAATCCTGGCGTTCACAAATATTACAGCAATCCTAACATTGCACTGCAATGATGTGCAATCTAACAGTACTCAGACCGTTAAGTTTAGAAATCCACAACTGCTGGAGTGAATATGATGAAAATGTGAAGTGAAAAGGGTACATAAAAATTGTTATACACACTGCTGTTCAAAAGTTTGGGGTCAGTAAGATTCTTGATCAAGGATGCTCTAAATTGGTCTTTTTGAAAGCATTTTAAATAAATTATGTTCTTTTGAACTTTCTATTCAAATCAAATGTATCATGGTTTCCTCAAAACTGTTTTTGACATTGATAATAATAAACTATTCTTGGGCACCAAATTAGAATGATTTCTGAAGGATCATGTGACTCTGAAGACTGAAGTAATGCCTGCTGAAAATTTGTAATAACATTTCACAATTTTATCATTTTACTGTATTTTTCATCAAATAAATGCAGTCTTGATGAGCATAAAAGACTCTTTTCAAAACATGCTTTAAAAAGTACATTGTTCTGTATAAAATAACTATATATATATATATATTTTTTTTTTTACAGCATTCATTGTTCATTTTTAAATATACAAGTGTTCGCTTTTAGTCCATTAAAAATATTGTTCATTGTTAGTTCATATTAAATATTGTGTTAACTAATGCTATGTATACAACCTAATAGTACAGTGACTATACATTTCATCAGATTGTTTATAGAGAATGACTGCTGGGCCAATTAGAGCAAGACCTACTGTTAACTTTAAATATTCATCATGGAATTATGACGTTTACTTCATTTATTACATTTCATAGAATATAGCTGTGAGAAACTGTTGAGAGTGAACTTACACACAGCAGATAGGAGAAGAAAGAAGAAAGCAATGGCCAGCAAACCAGAGTCCTTCTTACAGTATGACAACAGACGGCCGATTGTGGCCCCTGAATGAGGAGACTTTTTCCTTGATTTCCTGCTCTTCTCACTAGACTCATCTTCTGTTTCAATGCCATCCACCAACCCCTCCGTCTCCTCGCTGTCCTCTCGGTCAGACACAGCATTGGGAGTCTTTGACAGCAGACTCCATGAGATCATGATGCCTATTGATGATGCACAAGTCCAGGAGAACAGACTGAGGAACCAAGGGTCATACATCAGAGCTCCCTCTTCAGAAAACATCAACAACTTGGCCAGAGCATAAGTCATATTGGTAAGGCAAATGAGGGCAACCAGCGTCCCCAGGTTTGACACCCTCCGTGGACCATCGTTCCTGTTAAAGAACACCCCGATAGAGCCCCCGAAAAGAAAACTGACCCGTATGAGGACAGTTCCCCACAAGTCCAGTGTTGAGCGGTGTATGTCAAAGTCTTCTAATTCATCTGAAAATATATCAAGACTTGATCCATGAACATACAATATTGTAGTGACCATAATATCCAATAGAGTGAACAGCAGGCTGCCACTGAGAATCACAGCAACCCTCATTTTCCTACACCTGTTGAAGAGGTTAATAGTTACACCACACAGACCTATGTAACCTATGTACTCTCCTATGTAAACGTGAGCAGCAAAATTCTTTATGGAAATGATTTCAATAGAGTAGGTAAATGACACAGCATGAAACCAGATTGACAGGTCTGGACCGCCTGGTTTGATAAAAGGTCGGGCGAGAAACAAACTCTATGTCGATGTACTTCGCCTGTAAAGTTGATTCGCTGGCCTGCGCAGCTTGACACCCGGCACTAGCACAGCCTCATTCATTATAGGGCAGTAGGCAATAGAATTTGTAAATCCCTTTTCCGTCTAAAAAACAGCTCATTAATTCCTTCGTAAATCAACCTTCCCGGTACGATTAAACAACTCATATTAGTCCCACAATATCCAGTTCACATCCATCGTCTCTCCTTACCAGTGCAGCTCAATGACAGGAAGAGGCAAAAATAATACTGTACTGAAGCCCCGCCTCCGTGACAACTGACCTATAATCAGAGAGTGCTCTGGTCACATTGGAAAAATACACAGGTAAAGTTATTTGACGTTACATATTTTGATGGTAAGCTCGTGAGGGCAAATTTTAAAATGGATATCATAATTGTATCCGTATTGAATTGTTTACTGTATTTTATTGCGCATCCAATATATTGTATCTTCAAAAGTCGAGCATGAACTGAGCATTTCACTAATAATTCACAGTGTATATTAACTGTCGCCAAACAAACTAACTTACAATATATACTATAAAATTCACTAAATACTCCGGTGGGGGGGGGGGGGGGGGGTCATAATGAATGTGCATATGATATAGCCGAACGTCAAATCTTAAAAAGTATTTTTAAAAAACTGTACTCTCAGATATATCAAATAAATGACACAAGATCACACTATTATGATTGTTCTTTAAAACACTTTACTACGCATTTAAAAAGTGCTCTTTGTAATAAATTCATAATAAAAGTTTTACTTTATAGCCATAGGACACTTCAAATCATTGTTTATACGAGGATGTTGATGTGTTATATTAGTGCTTCTATTAATTTTAACTGTAGTGTTATTTAAAGTTAATATTTGAAATACTAAATTACAAATCTATAATTGCAAATAGAATACAAGTTTCAAAAGAAATTACATTATATTTTAGTATAGCAGTTAGTACATTTGGCAGTACACTTTCACAACTATATTTCAGACAATAAGTAATTATGAAATAATTAAGTCATACGTAAAAAGCACTATTGAGTTCAACTTATTCCATTCAATATAACTATAATGTCTGTTCATGTAACTGTTATTAACATTTAAGTGTCCAAAAACTACACATTTAATTTGCATTTTTCTTAACACTCCCTTTTTTCAAATATACTAAAGTGTACTTCTTTTTCACAAAGGTTATTGTATTTTTATTTTGCAAATAAAATGTATGAATAACCTTTCACACCTATGTAGGTATCATACCTTTCATTTTATGGGGAAAGGTGCATTCCCAGAATGTATTAAAAAAGTAGCACTGCACTTAAGTCACACCTCATGGATTCCTGTTAGATCACCACTGCTGTCATCAACACAGTAAAAACATATTTTATTGGCTCAAATATGTTGGTGTCTTAACATAATATAATTTAGTTAGGAACAAAACATCACCAAAATGTCTCCCATAATTCTTATACGTACAGTATAACATTGTCAGTGCATTTTTTTGAAAGTTCTAGCAACCACAGCTGTCAGTTTTTAGCATAAATTTAACAAAAATGTTTACATTGGATGTGCGAATACACAATTTTAAACGAGAACAGAGTGTTACAACATTAAATGGCTTCACTTTAAAGACATGTCGCCATTTTGCAAGCTGTCCCAATGATGACACAAGTAACAAACTGAGGTCAGCTCTATTATGAAATCACCTGCAATCCATGGCTCCATTCTTGCATCTTCGTTTCAACTGTTATTTCAAAGGCAAACAGAATGTTGCACCAGATGTATCACATTGGCCGCAGAGCTGACTGAATAACTGATTAATAAATCCATTTATTACAAATGAAAACAGTCAATTGTTGGATAACAATTTAAAATGATGAAGCACGTGTAAAGAAAGTTAGGCAAACAACTATTTTCTGTGGTATTGAGCACTGAATATTATAACCTTCATAGTCAATGTTTAAACAACATTCTTACAGATAATACTGAAATATCTGTACTTCAGATGACTCATCAAAAGAAAATAAAGAAAAAAAGAGTCACCTAAGCAAAACAAACATGGGTGTGTAGTTCAGTAAAAGACTAACATAATGACCTCACTTTGTAAAAAAAATACTATTCTGTAAAATAATAAGCACAATCTAAGACCATCATCAGTGTCAATGAATGCCTTGAGCTGAAACACACTATTTGAATCTTTACATCTATGAAATATGTGCTGAAACACAAAGCAAGCATAAAGTTCATCTACTTAACATGCTCTCTGTGGACCACCTTACTGGTCTTTGAGCTGTAGTCTATGCAAATACACTTTGCGGATTATATGGAAGCTTGTTTCCGCCACAGAATGAAAAGTAAAAAAGATAATTGCGACTTTTTATCTCGCAATTCTGACTTTATTTCTCAGAATTGCGAGATATAAAGTCAGAATTGAGAGATAAAAAAAGTCAGAATTGCGTGTTATAAAGTCAGAAATGCATGATGTAAAGTCGAAATTGCGGGTTGTAAAGTCAGAATTGTGAGATTTAAACTATTCTGAGGGGAAAAAAAGTTTTTTTCCGATTAGAATTGGCCTAATAACTCGCAATTGCGAGTTTATATCTCCCAATTCTTAGTAAAGATGTCAGAATTTCGAGATATAAACTCGCAATTATGTGTTAAAAAGTCAGAATTGCGAGATGTAAACTCGCAATTGCGAGATATAAAGTCGCAATTCTGAAAAATAAAGTTGCAATTGCGATTCTGAAAATTCTGTATTTCTCACACGACTTTCTCAGAATTGCGACTTTATATCTCGCAATTGTGACTTTATTTCTCAGAATTGCGACTTTATATCTCGCAATCGCGACTTTATTTTAAAGCAATTTAAAGCGACTTGCAATTATTTTATTTTTTTTATAGCATAGCGTATATAAACTAATTTTATTATTAGTTTATGGCGGAAACAAGCTTCCATAGGATAGTGATCAGTCCCATCAAAAAAGATTTTCAATGCACATCAGTGTCTGTTAGAGGATATTCTTGGCTTCAGATACATTCTGTATTGTGGTTAGGACAGTCTCCACAGGAAAAGACAAGAAGAGACTTTCCTTAAGCTTTTTTGCCGAAGGGGATTCCTCTGTGCTGAACAATGGGTTGGTCACAGTGAGAGTTATGGAGGGCATGTTTCTAGCCTTGCGTTTAGCATTTTTCTTTTCTTGTCTGTAGGCGACATTCATATTTGTAACTACCTGTATAGACAAAATAACATTATCAGGAATGGGACTAGAGAAGATTTTAGCTACACAAACAAATGCTCAGACTTTACCAGCTGTTTGATGTTATTCTGTTGCTCCTGCATGGAGGAAAGAAAAGAGTTTGTGTCCTCTTCATTAAGGGTATCCTCCTCCTGGTCCTGATAGCAACTAAGAGCATCAAACTTTGTCTTTAAAAAAAATGAACAGAAATTGAAATGTCAGTAACTTCTTGCTTACTGTATTAGAACGTCAGTGTATTACCATCTTAAAAGTCAATTCTCTTACCTCACTAGATATGCTGGCTTTTCTGTTGAACATTAAAAAGTGTGGGGTAAATTTTGTCGTAGGGTTGACTGATGTCCTGAAGATGGCCAAAACTGGATCAAGAAAATCATCCCATTCTACCTGTTTCTCCACCACCATCTGTTTTATGGCATCTCTCAGCAGATTACTGCTGCGATCATACAGTGCGTTCCTCTGCGGCTGGTCTACGGGCACCACTCTTAATGCTATGCTCCATCGCTCAAACAGGTGCTTTGTAACCTAAAATAATTATGAATAATGCTATGAAAATAGAGTTATGTTTTGCATAAAAGTTTGGTAATTCAACAGAAGTTTTTACCTCCTCACAGAAGTCAGCACTTTGAGAGCAAAATATTGTCTTTGCAGGGCCAAATCTGGAAGAAAAAAAAACATTTTAGCATATCAGCATACTTATTCTTCATTAATGGTGCAATGTAACCTCACCTGCAAATAGATGATGAAATGGATCGTGCAATACAGAGACCATCTTTCTTTTGTATAGGAAAGGCCTCAACCCATTTACTGTAGTAATCTGTAATAATAACAATGTGTGTATTCCCTCCATGTACAGTTCCTGGGAATGGACCTGTTTTCAAAAACAGCAAGTGAAGACATTTGGTTATGCTCTATAAATATGTTCTGCTAACAAATTAGACATCTTAAAAGTCTCTTTACCGATTATTTCAATTGCCAAAATGTCCCAAGGACCATCCACCTTTATGGGTCGTACCGTTCTGGCTAGGTTTTTACTCCGCTCTGTGTGTTGACAAGTTTCACACACTTTAATCTGAAACGGATGATTCAGTGACGTAAATAAACGTAAACGCATGTAGATAAATAATATGACAGTGACAAACGTATCCATTCCTAAAGGTATCAGGATAGTGACATCCACATCATACCCAATCCACAACATCCTTGACAATGCCAAGCCAGTAGTATTTACTCTGAATCCTGTGAACAGTCTTCTTCTGTCCTAGGTGATGCCCAATGTCATTGAAGTGACACTCCAGGAATATCTGTCTCTTTCGCTCTGTCTCAATCACTACTTCTCGCTTTTCTTCTTTCTTCGGTCCCACATAATATAACCGGCCATCTATAGAATTTATGATAGAGAAAGGTTAGAGAGGTAATAAAACTAAATCAATCACTAATCACTCAGTAAGACCAGCTAAACCATTTAAAAAAACATGGAAAGTTGCTTATGTTGCTTTTAAAGAGTGTTTTATACTAAAATAGACCGGATAAAATGATCTACTCAAACATCAGAAGGATTTGTATTCAACAAATACTCAATATTTTTTTTTATTATTTTTTTTTTTATTAACTAAAAAAATACTAAAAAAAAAAAAAAAAATATTACTGCTAATTGGAAGTCTGTGAAATCACCAACTGTAACCGAATGGAAACAGAGACTAAAACAGATTTACATGATGGAAAAAATTACTGCATCATTACAATTGAAAACTGACATTTTTAATCAGAGGTGGCATATGGTTAGAGAATATTTAAATCTATAATCCTTTTTTTATTTTTATTTTTTTTTATTTATTATTTATACCGAATATTTGTATGTATTTGGTTATTTATTTATTTAATTTTTTTCCTTATTTTATTCTTGTTATTTTGTCACTTGAAATCTCTTATTGTCTCAGATAATGTTCCTTTTGTTATGTTCTGTGAAAAATATAAATAAAAAGTTCAAAAAAAACCAAATACTCAATATGATAGTTTTGTACAAGTAAATAGTTTCAGTAACCCTGATTATTAGCTTATATATTTAAACTAAGACCCATAAGAAAATTAAAAAAATGTAGAGTAAAGTTTACAAAAGAGGTTAAAAATTATGTGATTATGTCTGATGATAATTATATGGCAATATATAGACAGGAGAATTTTAAATTAGGATAATGTTAATTTTTTATACTACTTTATATACTAAATTAACATATAACAGGGTAATATATAGGTATAACGTTATACATACATACATGCATGCATGCAGGTCTGTCTAAGTTAAACTTTACAGCATTGTTTCCAGAAAATAACGTTACTGTAAACACTAAAAGACTAACAACAGATTACTGACATTCCGAATCAAATGTAACATTTGCAAGCATTGCTCTCACCGTCAATCATAAATTTCTGAGCATATCTTTTGAGATTTTTCTTGCGAATAGGGTTCATGGTTTGAGGATAACAGCCCTCGGCAACAAAAGTGTAAATGTCCCCCAGTCTGTTTGAGCTGGACTCCACCACCTCCTCTTCGGCAACTGGCAACGAGTCTACACTCAACATTCTGCAGCGAATACACGGTGCCAGGCTTTAAATACATAACAGATAGTACAGCTGAATAATTGTCAAATTTTAAATTCAAAACAACAGAAGATATTTGTCTTGAACTTGCGCGTCACATTCACTACACAACACAACAATACTCGGACGGAAGGAATTGAGTGACGTACCAGGAAGTAAACCTAACAGTATCTTTTATCACTCTTGTTATGTAACGTATCGCTCTTTTCAGATGCGAACTCATTTGCTTTTAATATATTTCTACTCATATACTTGAAAAATAAATTGTGTTATCAGAGGTTTTGCGAAACTGTTTGTTTCTTTACGGACATATTTGTGGTTGTTCCAAAACAATCTTTGAGTAGGCGGAGCTCTGAACAGATTGACAAATCAACTTCAAACTGGTCTAAGAAGTCTGGTTATCTGGTCGAAGTGTGTTCTTGATGAATGTCTAACATTCATATTTCAAAAGTCGTAAATATTACGTCTGAGTATGAAATATATATATATAGCAGTATGCAGTTAGACTCGGATTAGTCAAATCTCAATAACGTACACCATGGAGAGATTTTACACATGCAGTTGCTTTTTCAGAGATAATATTTTTCTTGAGGAATACAAACTTCATGTTCGTTTCGTCTCAGAAAGCCAGTTCAGGAATGATTATCAAAATGTAAGTGACAACACTGGCTAATGCCTTAATGTTAAATACTTTGCCATGTCTCAGTCTGAACATGATTGACATTTGCTTAAGACCCTCAGATCCTTGGGCTGTGTGTCTGAATCTCAGTTCAGAGACGTGATTGGAAAGGTGAGTGAGCTCTCTATAGCAGAAATCACTCTTGCGGTAACGATGGAGATCAGGCTGTCAGAGTGTGCTTATTTACTCCGTCGTGTTTTTAGATTCATGCAGAAATTGAGAGACGCCAGAATCATAAATTGAAGTCAGCAGAGAGAGCAGCTACCATCAAGGAGATTTATACACCTCTACATCAACATGTTTATCATCTACATGTAAGTTACACAGATTCAGCAGTAGAGGTAGTCTATGATTAAACATCTTTCATTGATATAGTGTGTAATGCCATTTATCCCCTGCAAGGAATCATTCCTGGCCCCAGAGCTTTTACAGATGGTCAAATACTGTGCTTCAAGTGATGCAACCGTGGAAGGACTATTGAAACTCATCCAGACTGAAGCAGGTGAGCTTCTTTACCCCTTGCTCCAGTTTAAATCGTTTGACCATCAAATCTGATTACTTTATATTTTGCAGCACCAAGAGTCTTCAGATTCCCAGTGTTCAGAAAGGAATTCTGCAATGACCTTATTGAAGAGCTAGAGCATTTTGAACAGTCTGATGCCCCAAAGGGCAGGCCGAACACTATGAACAATAATGGGGTACAAGTTTGTATCAATATACACTTAACCAGTTCTCATGTGGTTGAGATTGCCATCAAAATGCTGACTGATATTGTTCTTTGTTTTATGCCAGTCGAGTCATAATAGTAATAACAATAATTGAACATCTCTAAACAAATCCAGATTCTTCTTAATGAACTGGGCTTTGATGAGAGCTTCATCACCCCATTGAGGGAGGTCTATCTGCGTCCACTCACGACTCTGCTCTACAGCGACTGTGGAGGAAGCTGCCTGGACAGTCACAAGGCTTTTGTGGTCAAGTATGCTATGAGTGAAGATGTGGAACTCTGCTATCATTATGACAACGCTGAAGTCACTCTAAACATATCACTGGGGAAAGACTTCACTGAGGGCAACCTGTTCTTTGGAGGCATGAGACAGGTGCTTATAAGACAACTTTTTTAAATTTCCCAGACAGGGCTCTTTGATTTTGAAAATCTCGTTAAAATCTGCTTGTAAAGATAACTAGAGCAAAATTATAATTGGAATTTGATATTTTCATATGTCAATACTCTAATTATGTGTATAAAAAGATGCTGTCAAACAAAATATTTTAATTAAATATTAAATATATTTAATATTTAAAAATATTTAAATATTTATTTAACTTAATACAAACAAAATATTTAAGTTCTGATTTTTTTTAATATTACATTTTTTAGATTTTTTTTATAATACATTTAAATATACATTTTATAACAGGGATTTTAATGATTTGGTATGGCTTAAGTGCAGTGAATATAAATTACATTTTATTTACCACGTTGTTTTCATAATATCATCCCTAATATTTTTTCACACACAAATTAGTATTCATCAGTCTATATATTATTTTAGGAAAGGGTTCCCTCAAGCTAGGGGGTCCTTTGCATCAAAAAGTTACTGTAGACTTTTGTTTAATGCATACAATCTGTTGAAATGAAATAGTGTTATCACATTCCCCATTCAATTACCCTAAAAGCAAGCAAACAATTTCTTCAAGAGGAGATTTTATTTCATGATTATAGAACACATTATTTCACTTTACAAAAACACTAACAGTTTTGGATGAAACATCACAAGCATGCGGCCTAGTAATGTACGATAAAGATGTATTTACAGTGTCCTGACTGTGCTTTTGTCTTACTGTAGGTGCCTCTGAGTGAGACGGAGTGTGTGGAAGTGGAGCATCGCGTGACTGAGGGTCTGCTTCACAGGGGCCAGCACATGCATGGCGCCCTGCCCATCTCTTCAGGCACACGCTGGAACCTGATCATATGGATGCGAGCTTCACGTGAGAGGAACAAACTCTGCCCTATGTGTGGTAAGACACCCACGCTAGTGGAGAGTAACGGATTTAGCGATGGCTTCACCATGGATCCTGACACTAGCAGAAATGCGTCATGTTCTTTAACATGATGTTGTTCAGTGCTGTTTTTGTCTAATTTATGGTCCTTTGCTCAGTAGTTTGGCAATCAGGATAAAATGTGCCTTTTTCAAAATCAGTACCAAAGGCGTAAATGTTGTTGTGGTAATTTTGACTGCAAATGACCTGATTAAATATTCATTTGATTGTAAATGTTGTGGTTTTAAACCTGCTACTGTATTTTAGTCAGTACCGTCTCTTAATATATACAAGGGATTTTTGATGTACAATAAAATATGATAAACAAACAACACATTCTAATGTATATGGCTCATATGTACAAAAACATTAATTTCAGTAAATATTTTTAGTCTTCATTTTTAAACCTTAACCAGAATTCAAGTTGTCAGGAGACAGAATTATTGCATCTTAAAACAGTTATTTTTTCCTCCAGAGGTTAAATCTCATCAGCATCAGCAAACATTATCCATCATTTGCAACCTGCCCAGCTTCACATAGTCATGCACAGAATATAAAAATACAGACAAAACATCCCGTTTACACCTAACACTGCTCACACAAGCTTTCTAAAAACGTTCAAGTAAATAAAATGAAAGGCCAAAATCAGTTTTTTTTTTTTTTTTTTTGGTTGTTTCTTTCCCCAACTTTGATTTTTGAGTGTTATAAGCAGGAAAAGAAAGGGAAGGCAAGGAAAAGCATGACTTCGGAGAAAGGCAACACTACTAGACTCAGAGGTATAAACAGTTACCGGGGAAAACAAAATCATAATTGTAAATCTCTGTAATCCTCATATCAAAGAGACTGGAATCTTCAAAATAAAAGCTGATCTAGTTTTCACATTATCTATGGCGTTATATTAGTAACAATTAGTTCAATTTACTGAATTTGCAGAAAGTTTTAATTCCCTTGGGTTTTAAAATAAGAAACAAAAATCTATATTTGATGCATACGTAACATAAATTATACACTCTGGCTCAATGTTTACCCTTTAAAATAATTCAACCACTGACTTCTTATGCCATGTAACAGTTGTGCTATAAAGTGTTGTCTGATCCAAACATGAACATGTATTAGCAACACAGGAGCTTCAAACTAGCTGAGATGGAGCGTCCGATGTTCCACACTGTTCACAGTTCCACTACTGGAGATTCGACATTATAGTGTTGTTTCGCTGCTCATGTCCCTGTGATCCCTGTGTCTGCCTCTAGGGTTAATATCTGGGTCTTCATAGTCAGACTCCATCTCAATCTTCACCTGCGGCACGGGGCAAGACATCCCTCTGGCCAGTGGCATCGACGGAGACGATGGACAGGAGATCTTCAGGTGCAGAGTGATGCTGTGGAATGGCAACTTCCAGTTACAAGTGTGAGGAGGAGGAGAGGGTTATGGCAGGGAGGAGGTACAGCTGAGTATCAGGATGGGGAGCTGGGAGTCTGTATTAAGATTATAGATGCAGGTGACACGAGATGGTGTGACTGCACAAATGTTCCAGGGGAAAGATTTGGGATCAGGGCACACCCAAATCAGAAAGAAGGCTCAGTATGATGTCCTATAGTGTTTCATATTATGCGTTAAGGTGATGACTAAAGTGTTTAAATGAGGGCTGTGCAAAAATTAATTGCGATTAATCGCATCCAAAATAAAAGTCTGTGTTTACATAATATATTTGTGTGTGCTGTATATAATTATTTTGTATATATAAATACCTATGCATGCATGTATATATTTAAGAATTATTTGCACTTAAATTCTGTATATATATAAATACATAATCTATATTATATAAATATTTTATATATGAATAACACATTTTCTTAAATATATACATGCATGTGTGTGTATTTATATATACAAAATAATTATATACAGCACACACAAATATATTATGTAAACACAGACTTTTATTTTGGATGCGATTAATCGCAATTAATTTTTGCACAGCCCTAGTTTAAATGCGATAATTACTTGGGCCATTAACAATAAGGTTCTACACTAACATTATTTAATGCATTAGGAATCTTTTTTACATTAGACATTTCAATTTACATTTTTTAACATTCAAATATAGAATATATAAAGTAACATTATTTTTTTTATTATTTTTTTTGACAGGAATGTTAAAAAAAATGGTCGGTATGATTTTTAATTTTAAATGAAAGCAGTCTTATTTTTTCTCCATTTATTTGATCACAAATACAGTAACGAAAGTAATATTGGTAAGGGTTTTCTATTTCAATATGTTTTCAAATTTATTCCTCTTATGGCAAAGCTGAATTTTCAGCAAACTTGATCCTTCAGAAATCCTAGTAGCTGATTTGTTCAAATATTAAAAAGTTCTGCGGCTTAATATTTTTAAAATTAATATAAAGAGCAGCATATATTTTTTTGTAATGTGAAAGTCTGTCAGTTTTAACATCGTTATTGAGAAAAGTGTTAATTTAAAAAAAAAAACGTACTGACCTCAAACATTTGAACAGTAGTACGTAGCTGTTGTTATAAAGAAAGGCTATTATGAACAAGGGTATATTTCTAAAGTAATATTATCCTAGATTAAAAAAAATATATAATATCTAATAAAATATATAATGCAATAACTAAAATAATGTAAATTCAACCTTAGTTAAAGTGAAGACTTCATCCAAACCATGCCCCCTGAACAGCAATGCAGACATGAAACCCAGCAGATTTTACATTTCTACATACAGAGGAATGCATTTGGATACGTAAATGGGTTTTGGATATAGTGTAAGAAAAACCAGGCTGGGAAACCTTCATAAAACAAAACAAAACAAAAAACTGGTACAGGCACTGAGTTCTTCTGTATAAGCACTCTTATTGGGACCACAATCACACAGGAGAAAGAAACAACCAAAATTCCTTGAAAGAAGTAAAATACATTGTAACATAAATCATTTTATATCTACTAAAAATGTGAAGTTTTAGCAAAAAAAAAAAAGAAGTAAACAAAGTAGGGTACATTAATATATTCGAATAACTTTTCTCACTGGCATCTTTCCCAGTATTTCAGGCAAATAAACTAAAACTGTTCACACATCTACTGTAATTATGCAAGTTCAATAATTATTATTTATGTGTGCCGTTCCTTTGGGTGTGAAAATGTAAGCAAAGTAAAAACATACTGTATGAATAACAATAAATAACCTTTTTTTTTTTTACAACAGCATACAAAGTAAAATACTGGTGGATGCATGAAAACAATTCTATCTGCATTGCTTCAAAGCGCATGGCAAGGCAAAAATCTATAGGTGAATACTCAAATAATATATGGCAAAATACTGTATACAGGGGATTGCATGACATTTTATTGGTCTTAGCAGTTATACATTTAATATTCTGAGCTGCCTATCAACTAGCATCTACTTCTATGTAAATATTAATACAATATTTAGTATTATTAAATGTAGAGTGGTAGTGAGTGGAAGTGTATTTAGGAGGAAATGCTCATTTAAAAAAAAAAATCTAATAAATTAAGTATCAGTGGTAGTAACTGCCTGGTTGGCATCGTGCCGCCCACTCGGAGTTCGAGTCTGGCGCCTGTAGGAGGTCACGGTAGGGAACGTGTAGTTTGAGCACACAGTACCTGCGATCCAAGTCTGAATCACTGGGGGAGCAGTTTGTATAAGGTTGGTACTTGTCCTGTGGGCCAAAGAACGGAGAAAAATAAGTGTCTGCATGTGCAGAATGTGTCAACTTTGAACAGTACAAAGGCTTTTCTCCACCAGAAGGTGGCACCAACGAAACACAATGCAACAGTGGATCTGAAATATAGACCGTTTTTGGCTGAACGTCACCAAAGATGACTTTAGTCCAGTCTGCACTCTCCACTTAGGTGTCTGTTTTTGAGTTTGGCTACTAAAACACTTACTTCTTCACAGATATCCCCTGCTTTTCCTTTCTTTTTGTCCTTCTTGGTGTTCTTTTTGTCTTCATCCTTTTTCTTCTTTTCCTTCCCAGGTAGGATATCATCCACCCATGCCAGATCGTGTTGAGAAAAGACCATGTCCAGCATCTTTCGTACCACCATGAGACCAAGAATCTGAAAGATCGAGAGACGCATACTGTTTATTTGTATCTTTAATGTTCATTGTCTTTAAAAACCTAGAGAGATGAAAAACAGAGTGTGATTGAACTACAAAGTGCAATGATCCTTTACTAAATGGATTACATCCAGAAAGCTTGAAACTTGTATTGTTTTACGAGTCATGATATACCGAGTGCTTACGGTATAATGTGTAGCAATATAATGTGTTACCATACCATGACTGGGAAGATGATAGCGAGGAATGTGGATTTGAGGACCCAGAGAACAGCTAAGCACACAATCTGCACCAGTGTGAACAGGTGGACTCTCCTCAGCGGTACATGACGCAGGTATGGAAAGTCTGGCTGGTGTTTTGCTGGCATCATGATCAGTTTGATCCTATCCCAGAACTATAAAAGACCAAATGTTTTATTAGTTACGCAGTGGACAAAAAGGGAAAATCTGTCATTATCTACTCAACCTCATGTCATTCCCAACCTAAATACTATTCAATCTAATGAAATAGACTTGTTCAACACAGTCTCATGAAGATGCGCATCTATACCACGAGTGTCATTTCTCGTGGCATTTATACGCCAAAAGTGTTTTTTTTTTTCGTGTATATGGTACGCACTAAAAAACCCTGGGTTAGGTTTAGGGGGGAGGGGGGTGGGGAGTTTGTGCGTATTATACGCAAAAAAGTGCGTATCATATGTACGCGAAAATCACGTGCCATATACACGCAAAAACTGTTTTTGGCGTATAAATGCCACGAGAAATTACATTCGTGCCATAGATACGAACTTTCATGAGATCGGGCTGACTTGTTGAGTCAAACCAATCTGATTCACTTTACAAAATGTGTCGATCTCAATGATTTGTTCACAAATTGGATGGATCTGGTTCTCAAATGACTTAGTGATCTGGTTGCAGTTCACTTGAGGGGAAGATTATTTGTGAATAACAACTTACATTTTGATGTTTTCCTCACATAAAACTATCGAATGGCTTTAGAAGACTTTAAAAGTAACGCAAGAGTCATATGGATGACTTCTTCCCTACTTTTTAGTCAAATTTTTAGCCCCTCACTTATATAAGACAATTAGTAATTCACATTCCAAAGCTTGTCACATAGAAAAGAACGCTTCGTTTAAAGACAATATCAGCTCTCAGGGGCATTTAGCCTCAAAGCACTGTTAACTTAAATACATTTGTATTCATTCAGTATAGTTACAGTCTCCGTTCCAAGATCCATAATTTTGCCATTGTCCTCCTCTTGTTCTCTAGCTGACATTAAACTATACTACTAGAGCACAGAAAAGAAGCACCTGGCCACTGCCAAGCTACACAATAGGGTGGATTCTCACTGCAGTCTGACAGCCTCATCAAAATGCAGCTCAAAATTGCCTCAGTAAACCCAACCAGCATGCAAATATCCATTCCCACAACACCACACTCTTCTTACCCTGCACTTTCACAGAGTGGAGAAATCACTCATTTCTAATCACTAAACACGGCTGTAGAGAGCATACAAATGAGTGTTGCACTCAAAGTACAAGTTGTGATGTTTTCCTAAAGTTTGCTATGATATTAAAACTTTGCAGATGTCAAAAACCATAAGAGTACATCGGCTATTAGAGCTGTTCCAGACGGGGGAGGGAGGAGGGATTGAAAAAGGTTATAGGCACTTACTTGGATGCCACTGAGAGAAGCAACACCCATGTAGAGGAACACTCCATACAAGACTGGCATAGGAATGAACTATAAACAGAAAAAGTACACTTCAGCAACAGCAGTTACACTTAAAGTCAGCATGAAGACAAAACGGACCCTGTTTAATCATATAACAGTTAACTAACAATGAGCAAATCATTCAAAGCAGTATTTATTAATCTTTGTTAATGTTAGTTAATAAAATAGTTGTTCATGTTAGTCCATTAACTAATGTTTACAAATACAACTTTTGATTTTAATAATGATGTATTAGAAGATGTTAAAATTAACATTAAGGTTAATCAATGCTGTTGAAGTATTGTTCATTCTTAATTCATGGTTACTAAAGTAGGTAGGCCTAACTAATGAAACTTTACTGTGAAGTGTTACCAAAAAACTGGCAAAACTTGTTTGTTGGAGCCATTATTTTGAATTGTATTTTTTGTTTGTGACACTAAAGGACGTATCTTGAGTATATTTAAGTAAGGTGATAATGAGTTACAGGTGCGCTGATGGAAGGTCAACAAACTTTTTGACCGTGCTATGTGGAGAGTTGGATTGTGCTCATGCCTAACTGTGTATTTTGAATCAGATATTTTGGTTTATTGTTTATTTTTGTTTTATTTGTTGTTTGCAATGCCAAATGGACAATAAATGGATTTGTCTTATCTGAAATATAATCTGAAGGTATGGACAATATTGATTTTATTCAACACAAAGGCAAAAGTGTACCATGAAGGTACCAATGTGCACCCTTTTGGTACAAAAGTGTACCTTTTTGAAAAGGTACCGCCCCAGTGACAGCTTTCGTACCTTTTTTTCTGACAGTGTACGGGCTATTGGATTATGTTAACCTGTAGCCAAATAGCTATTTAATTCTTGTTTTAGAGAGCTCACTCAGTCTGGCTCCATTCTGGTACAGTATGTAAAGGCCACTTTACACAATCCAATCAATTTATTGATGGATAAAACCTACCCTTTTTTCAGATTCACCAGATAATGGAAATAAAACTTCCTGCAGAGGCATTGCTTCCTTACCTTTTTTAATGGTTGGTTTTATTAAGGTTTTCTAAGAATGCTTGACCTTTAAAAACATTTCAAGTGCATTTAAAATCACATGAATAATAACAATAAAAAAATTTGTTGAATGCCAAGGCCATAAGTGTAATTTCATCTGGCCAATTGAAGATGACTTTCAGGATGATATTTTAGTTCACTTTAACTGTTTTAGAAATTCACGGTATGTTAAGTAAGTAAATACAACGTAGATGTACAAAAACTTGGGGTCAGTAAGAAATGGATTAAATTAATCACAAGTGACAGTAAAGACAAAAAATAGTACACAAAAAAAGATAGTACAGCTAAAGCAAAGAAGATCATACAGACATCTTCAGTGAACATTTTTTATAATAATAATCACTAATCTACCCTAAATGATAGGTCCAGTCAGTATTAATTATCTCTGTCATTTCAACAAGCTCACTTGCAGGATTGGCGCTAAGAAGATAGACACCCCTGTCAACACAAACACCAGGATTCCTGTCAGCCTTTGTTCTCTGTAATTAGAAGAAAAATAAAAGAGAGTGGAAAAATTTGATATATATACTGAACAGCCACAATTTATTCTATGTATTTGTGTCACTTGTGTTGTAACTATTCCGTGCAGACTAACAATGTAGCTACTTATGTTACTTCGGTAGCCAAATCTTAAACATAACAATTGTAGATTTACACCAGACATGTAAACAGTACATAAAAGTAGTTTAGCATTCCTATTCATAGCCATCTACATTTTGAGGTTTGACTTCTGTTACATGCATTAATTAATTAGCATTTGGATATAAATGTGACCCTGGACCACAAAAACAGTCACATGGGTCAAGTTTATGAAATTGAGATTTATACATAATCTGAAAGCTGAATAAATAAGCTTTCCATTGATGTATGGTTTGTTAGGATACAGAGATACAACTATTTAAAAATCTGTAATCTGAGGATGCAAAAAAAAAAAAAAAACACCTTTAAATGTGTCCATTTATGTTCGTAATTGTACTGCATTCACAAAAATAAACGTTTTATATATTTACGGTAGGAAATTTACAAAATATATTCATGGAGCATGATCTTTACTTAATATCCATATGATTTTTGCAATAAAAGAAAAATCGATCATTTTGACCCATACAATGTATTGTTTGCTAATATACCCATGCTACTTGTGACTGCTTTTGTGATCCAGGGTCACAAATGTGGTCCATCTGCTCATGTAAATCCGATTTTATGACAAGGAAGTTTTGATAGCCCACTCTCAATAACCCTTTTATCATTTATGACTTTTTTATTATAATTTATAATTTATGGCCTGCTATGGTAGCCATGTCTGTCTCACCTCACACCCAGGAACTGTGGCTGTTCCCCAGGAGCACTGGACTCACTCTCCATCTTCAGCGAGTCAATGTGAGCGATGGAAATGACAGTGGCTGCCACGTACCACGGCAGGCCCATAAAAGAGCAGGCTGCCATCAGAATGCCAACCCACAGTAGATCCAGGTGATACCCACAACCTTTCTGTAACAAACGGATAGGAAATGTAAGGAAGTCAATGGAAATGAAAAGAACAGGAGTGATTTGGGACCTTCTCACTGCATGGATACCTTTAACTTGTTTTCCTTGCGGTTTACAATGACAGCACTGATCTGCTGATCCATGAAGATGAGGATAGTTACGAGGAGAGCAGGGACGAAGCTTGCCAGGTAAACCCACCATGGGTTCTTTCCGAATGGCATCACAAACCAACCCCGGTCGGGGCGTGTGGGCTACATGATTTGAAAATAAATTAGCCAATACATCTTTGAGAAAAACTAAAGAGGAAGCTTTATAGTCACAAAAAAAAAAAAAAAAAAATCAAGATCAGTTTCTTTCTTCAGTACATGCGCGTAACTCTCACCTTGAACTCTGTGGGCACAATGAGTTTGGGTGTTTTCAAACCAATAAGCATGTCCAGCCCCACAAATGTCATGATGGACATGAAGATGGAGAAGTCACTAATTAACTTCCTCAGCTTGATAGAAACAAAACATATTAAAAGAATAAATAAAACACATGAAATATAGCACAATACCGTTGAAAACATATGTATAGCATACTGGGCTGCGTTTCCCGAAAGCATCGTTAGCCAACTATGCTCGCAAGTTCCGTCATTATCTGCATAGTTTAACGAGTCGGTGTTTCCCGAAACCATCGTTCCAACGGACATTCGCAAACAGCATCGCAAAGTCGGGTGGTTTGAACGACAGCTCTCGACCTGTGGTTAGAGGCATCGTTTCTATATTGCATGACATTTGGAGGTAATAAATCCTTATCTTGAGCAAAATAAGCAAGCTGACAAAATTCAGTACAACCGGTGCCTTTTGTTTAGAATACATATAAATGTAATTTACGTGTTTAAGTTTTTCAAAAGATTTGAAGTAACGTGTTTGAAGAGTGCGCATGTGCGAACGAGCTCTACTATGTAAGAACGAGCCAAATATTGAGTCTGGTAATAAAGCAGAACAACTGAGAACAATTAGAAATAGTCCTCAAATGACATGTCTGTAATTTATATTAAACAAATCTAGCGTTAATTGGATCTCAAACTAATTGGTTTCATTAAAAGTAGTTATTACTCCACACCACGTGCGAAACCAACGTGGTTGAACGATACTTTGCGACAGTGGGTTTCGGGAAACAGTCGTGACTAGCTGGTTGATTTTTGGTAGTGAAACAGTGAACTACGTCGTTGTACGGGAAACGCACCCCTGGTCTGCTCCTTTCTATTAATTGCACAGTTTTAAATGCAGAAATGAATGTCAACATAAGATCATGGAAGAGTTATTTATTTATTTAATGCACTGATGCATGCTTCCATTCCAAACACATACACTGCATCCAAAATCAAATACTTCTCTACTACATAGTATGCAAAAAAGTGTACAAGGATGCAATGTATCTGACACTCATTATATGCTAATGCCGCGATGCACAGCAGCTGGTGCATTATCGCATGCCAATGTGCATTGACTCATTTAGTTACACTCAAAGTAGATAGACTCTCGTGCGAGATCCCCATTCGTCAGAATCACTTCTGACGTACGTCTCCGTTTCCCTCCTCGGGGAACGAGGGTTACCATACGTAACCAAGACAAAGATGTTTTTGTGTGACACATGCATGATTACACCCACATCACATTGTTCACATTTCATGATTTTGCAGGTATAAAGCGCTTTTGATTGATCTAACACTATGAAAGATCCGACTGGTCTTACGAAATCCCATCAGTAATTAGGAAAATGCAGAATAAAAGTTAGAGACAGACAACTTTTCTTAAACAAGATATAGTCAGACTCAAGGTTTTGACAAAAGAGGAAATGGAGGAAATCGCAAGAGTTTGGTAAGAAAAAGGGCAAGAAATATTCACTGGTATTACCTTAGTGGGAAAGTAGCGACTGAATTTGAACTTCTTCAGAGTGACAGTCATAGAGTAGGTCCCGAAGAACAAAATGAAGGACATGAGAGCAAGATCTGGAACATACTTGCAGGTTTTTCCTACCAGTGAGCCCCCATATTTCACACATTCCTTCTTACTCAACTGAGTCCAGTCCAGAGCTGTTATGTTTAACTGAGAAGATGGGAGAAACACAGAAAAAAAGGTACAAATCAAGGAGAGGAGGGAGGAATGTAGACAAAGCAAGGGATGGAAGGGTTGTGTGGTAGATAAATGGCAAAAAAGAGAAAGAGAGAGAATAAAACAGGACAGGAAAAACAGAGTAATACAGCAGACAAGATCAGTAACAAAGGATGCATTTTAATTAAACTAATGGGATTCACTCATCATGACATAATACAAAAACACACAATATCATTGTGGGCTATGAAATCAGTGATAGTTAGTGCAAATACAATGGATTCAAAGGCTATAATCTAATCTGAGGTCATGCTAACACAAATGTTAACACAGATGTGAGTGAGGTGAAGACAATAGGCACTTACACCAAAGAGAGCAGAGGAATTATCTGGCACTGGGACTACAACATCGAAGATCATTGGTGCCACTGAACAAACAGAGAAAGGGAGAATCAGAGAGGAAAATGAGTAGAACGAATGGAAATCTGAAAAACACTTTGTTAGAAGGATTTATCCAGGATCAAAGCCAGCTTTGGCAAATGTAAATGACTGCAGGTGTAGCCCCACTAAAATTTTCATTTGGTTTTTCAAACAATCCAGCACACCTGAACTACTTTCAAAAGACCTCACTGCTAGTTTTCATTCACTACTGCAGGGCATTAGACTAAGTACAAACTGTCTAGGTGAAACTCATGCATATTGAAAAGTACTCACATCAATCAGCAGTCACGTTTGAAGCAAAAACAAACATAACACAAATAAGTTACAATAATCACATGCACTCAGCCAGTTCTCTTTAAAACACACAATGGAACTTTGGTAAATCAAGAAATTAATATTTGACATATGAATGTCTGCATATTGACAGTGCAGTGACTCCAAAGTGAAATTTGTTTGTGATTTGTTACCATAAGCTAATGTTTAAACTAAGTATAATGAAATAACATTGAATCATACCTCTACAGCATTTTAATAATGTTCACAGTACATACAGTACACTATGCCGTTCAAAAGTTTGGGGTCGCTAAGATTTTTAAAAATGTTTTTGAAAGAGATCATTATGCTCATTGCTCACCAATCATTATTTGATCTTGATCAAAAATACAGTAAACAGTAATATTGTGAAATATTAAAACACATTTAAATAAAGGTTTTCTATTTTATATATTAATTTAAAAAAAATGTAATTTCTTGTTATTCATGTGATGGCAAAGCTGAATTATATTTTGATAAAAAAAATTAATTAGCTAAAAAAAAAATTAAAAAACACATGGATAAAACATGTACAATATGATCAATAACATGCATTTCAAAAATAGATCTTAATTTGCATTTACATGAATTTTCATTTTATGTCGATTTAAAACACAGTTAAGTATTCTTAAATGGTACCAGTTGTCACAGCTTTAAGATAGTTCAAAAATGTAAAAAAATAAAATAAAAAAATGAAAATCAGTTAAAATGAATAAAACCTAACAAAATTACAAAGACGATTTGAATTTAAGTATTTTGAACAAATATAAGTTTACAATGAACAATAATATATTGTTAAATTAGTTCATTATTCCTAATGCCAACTAATGTTAACTAATTGCCGCTTATCGTAAGTTGTTACCATTTGTTTTTCATGTGTAAATCTTGACACACTAAATTAAGGTAAATTGGCTCTACATCCAATGTATTTCACAATTAGTTCTCCATTTCAGAACTGATGTGCTCTGCACAAAGAATGGACTTACTCGGATCTGGCGCCACACATTCGCACTTGTAGGCCGTAACGTAGTCCGGTTTGAAGTCAGTGTTGATGGGATAGTATTTAAAGGATCCCACCATCTTTTTGATGGCATCAGAGATGAAGATGAAGGAGATGAGGCTAGAGAAGCCTTCCTCCGTGAAGCGCGTCATGTACTTTATGATGTAACTGGCATCCGTGACGACCAGGAGCAAACACTGCACGCAGGAGTGCATTCCGATCCACAGCCTAAGCTCCATGTAATCAATCCCATTGTTCCTGAGGAAAAGAAAGTTTAAATAGGTAAATACTAAAGCAGTAAACACAAGAGAGCAAGACATTATTTGCATCAGTGAAGACTAAGAGAGAAGATTTATGAGGGTCTTTCACTTGATGAAAGTGAGCAATCAAGGCTGTACTTTTTTTTTTTTTTTCCTCAATAATAGACTGTGAAATTATGATGAATCGGTGCGAATGACTCTCTCACTTGCTGAATTCATAAAGCAGTTTCTCAAAGATGAGGATGGGGCCTGTTGAGCTGAGAATGATGAGAGGTTGACCGCTAAACATGCAGAATACCGTTCCAGCTAGAGCGGTGCCCAAAAAACTCTCCATCACACCCTGACCGTTAAATAGGGAGAGAGAGACAAGGAAACAAGGTGAGAAAGAGAGTGACAAAAAAGAAAAGGGCTATAGATGTAGCAAGGTCACAAGCATGCTTGTCAAATGCTCCATAAAAGATGATGATATGCAACTTTAAGCAAACTGTCATGTTTAGTGTCAAGTAGAAAACCTGCGAAGTGTACCTGGTAATTATCTGTGGCATCCCCTAGAAGGCCCCCAAAGGTGATTGCATTGGTTATGCAGCCAAGGTAGATGAAGAGCACCGCAGAGATGGACTGAATATGGATGCCTTCATAAAAGTCGCGCGGGTACCAGGGGAGCTTCCTCTTGATGTCAAGGAAAAGGCCACCACAGAACCTGCCCCATAAACATAGATGTTTAATTCATTATTCATCAGTGACTTGTCATCTTTAGCTTGTATTAGACAGACAGAGGCAAAATCTTGACTATTAGCACCGAAGTGCCAAAAATAACATTATTTTTTTTTCTTTTTCAACATAGGGTTACAAACTGCCTTAAACCTTGGAGCTCTGAAATATCTTTCAATTATTTGTAGAGACAGATAAAACAAGAACACTTTGAAACTCAAGCTATACCCAAAAGCTATACCCAAGAGTCTTTCAGCCAAAGTTTTTTAGAGACTATGCAAAGTTGAAGACAAGAACTTTGTGTCTCTATGATCAACAGGCAAATGTCAATGTGCCGTACACTCAGTTAGCAGAGCTGTGCGCAATTCAGAACTAAATTGTGGTTGTCATTTAAATTTCAATTAAATTCCTGAATTTAAGCTGAATTGAAATTGAGGTGGCAAGGCAGACATTAACCCTCTGGGGTTGTTCGTTTCAGAGTCACACTCGGGGTGTTCGGGTCCAAATGGACCCAAAGGGCGGGATTCATATTTAAAAAAAAAAAAATCATGATTTTTTTTTTTACTTGTTTTTTATAATATTTTTTCTTTTCTTTTTTGGTGTTTTGAGAAAATTTCAAAAATAAAAAAAAAATTATAATTAGTATTAATGCAATAATTATGACAAAATTTCCCCCCATTGAACATAATAGAAAAAATATTTTTAAAAAAATATTTAAAAAAAAATATGTTAAAGCTGTATTTCATTTTAGAGTCAAGCCTAGGCCTCATAAAAGTAATTTTTGAAATGAGATGGATGTCATCTGGTGGACAAACTGAGCATTTTAAAAATTTAAAACACATGTATAATCTTAATTTTTTGGTGTGTTTGTGCATAAAAGTGTGTTTGTGTGTGTCTGGATGTGTCTGTTTTGCACTCTTGATGTTTTATAGATTCACCCTTTCACTGTTGTGTGCTTTTTTCAAGATCGTGGCTGATTTGTAGAAAAAACTCCGTATTTTCACATTTTTGCCAATTTCCCATTCATTTTCCATGCGGGTCCATTTGGACCCGAACACCCCAAGTGTGACTATTTTTTTTTACAACCACTTAGACTATTCACATCCTGTCCCCAATTTTTTGGGGTGTTCAAATACCAAATACCAACAAAGTCACCAAATTTCGGACCATTCCGAGATAGCTGTGATTTTTAAAAAAAAAATATTTAAATTCTTCGGGTCCATTTGGGCCGAACAACCCCAGAGGGTTAAATGTATGTATGGATGGATGGTGCCTAATTATGTCAGTCAGGGTATTTACATACTCACCTCCCCGTAAATGCCAATTCTTCGCCAAGTTCATGTGGAACAGGCATTTCCTCATCCTCACCAGCAGGCCCTCCACCGCCTGCTGTCCCGTTCATCTGACCCAGCTCATTGAGGGAAAACACAGACTTCCTTTTCAGAGAAACATAGAGGACTGTAAAGATGTGAAGCATATGGGCCAAACAAAGACAGAGAAAAAGAATGAGCTTTACCTTTTGTCTGCTGAGGGAATTTTTTTGGGGGGTTCTATGCGAATTTTAGGGTCCCATTCTCCAGGTGGAAGTACAATGACCTCGTCCAGGAACTCATCAATTCCAGCAATCAGATCCTCTCTGTCCCTGGCTTTATATGCTACATCACTGAAGAGCTGTGGATAAAACAGAGGAAATACATCACTTTAAAGAGCAATGTATGATGCAAGTTTATCTGGAAAAATTGAACATTAAAGATAAGAACGTACTGTATATGAAAACTATTAACTGCATAATAAATCAATCAAACTTACATCATCCACCATGAGAGTGGCAATGGCCCGTCCAATTTCATTGTAAGATTTGGCTTTACCAGGAGGCCCAAGTAGCACAAACAAGAATCTGTCCATTAAAAGATACATGGTCAAAGATTTAGTTAATTCAACTTTTTCCGTGATCTTTTTACAGACATAATGTGAGTTTTTAATGTGCAAACTGTTACCTGGTGGGCACTGGGACTTCCGTCAGACCCCCAAGAGTAGTGGCCTGAGACAGGCGAACGAAGGCAACAAAGGGTTTATCTAAGAAGTCCACTTCTCCCACCAGAACATTGGATGCCTCTGCATCTCTTGGGATTTTCTTCATGAACTTGTTCTTCAGCTGAAATCAAAGTGAGTAAATAAAATAACATAAAAAGACCCATGTGCTGTCCTTTAACCCTTCTGTTCCATGACCCCAGGACCCTTGTTGTCATTTAAATCAGGGGTGCTCAACTCTGGCTCTTGAGGTCCACTTTCCTGCAAAGTTTTGCTCCAACCATCACAGGACCCTCATGTTGTCACTAACCCTTCTATTCCATCACAGGACCCTTTAGTTGTCATTAACACTTCTATTCCATCGCAGAACCCTCATATTGTCACTAACCCTTCTATTCCATCACAGAACCCTCATGTTGTCATTAACCCTTCTATTCCATCACAGGACCCTTTAGTTGTCATTAACACTTCTATTCCATCGCAGAACCCTCATATTGTCACTAACCCTTCTATTCCATCACAGAACCCTCATGTTGTCATTAACCCTTCTATTCCATCACAGGACCCTTTAGTTGTCATTAACCCTTCTATTCCATCACAGGACCCTCATGTTGTCACTAACCCTTCTATTCCATCACAGGACCCTCATGTTGTCATTAACCCTTCTATTCCATCACAGGACCCTTTAGTTGTCATTAACACTTCTATTCCATCGCAGAACCCTCATATTGTCACTAACCCTTCTATTCCATCACAGGACCCTCATGTTGTCATTAACCCTTCTATTCCATCGCAGAACCCTTTAGTTGTCATTAACACTTCTATTCCATCGCAGAACCCTCATATTGTCACTAACCCTTCTATTCCATCACAGGACCCTCATGTTGTCATTAACACTTCTATTCCATCGCAGAACCCTCATATTGTCACTAACCCTTCTATTCATCACAGGACCCTCATGTTGTCATTAACCCTTCTATTCCATCACAGGACCCTCATGTTGTCATTAACCCTTCTATTCCATCACAGAACCCTCATAATGTCACTAACCCTTCTATTCCATCACAGAACCCTTCAGTTGTCATTAACCCTTCTATTCCATCACAGAACCCTCATGTTGTCATTAACCCTTCTATTCCATCGCAGAACCCTTTAGTTGTCATTAACACTTCTATTCCATCGCAGAACCCTCATATTGTCACTAACCCTTCTATTCCATCACAGAACCCTCATGTTGTCATTAACCCTTCTATTCCATCACAGAACCCTCATATTGTCACTAACCCTTCTATTCCATCGCAGAACCCTCATATTGTCACTAACCCTTCTATTCCATCACAGAACCCTTATGTTGTCATTAACCCTTCTATTCCATCACAGGACCCTCATGTTGTCATTAACCCTTCTATTCCATCGCAGAACCCTTCAGTTGTCATTAACCCTTCTATTCCATCACAGAACCCTCATGTTGTCATTAACCCTTCTATTCCATCGCAGAACCCTTTAGTTGTCATTAACACTTCTATTCCATCGCAGAACCCTCATATTGTCACTAACCCTTCTATTCCATCACAGAACCCTCATGTTGTCATTAACCCTTCTATTCCATCACAGAACCCTCATATTGTCACTAACCCTTCTATTCCATCGCAGAACCCTCATATTGTCACTAACCCTTCTATTCCATCACAGAACCCTTATGTTGTCATTAACCCTTCTATTCCATCACAGGACCCTCATGTTGTCATTAACCCTTCTATTCCATCGCAGAACCCTTTAGTTGTCATTAACACTTCTATTCCATCGCAGAACCCTCATATTGTCACTAACCCTTCTATTCCATCACAGAACCCTCATGTTGTCATTAACCCTTCTATTCCATCACAGGACCCTCATATTGTCACTAACCCTTCTATTCCATCACAGAACCCTCATGTTGTCATTAACACTTCTATTCCATCACAGAACCCTTCAGACAGTTGTCATTAACCCTTCTATTCCATCACAGAACCCTCATATTGTCACTAACCCTTATATTCCATCACAGGACCCTCAAGCATTCCACAAATTCCACCAAAGCTTGGGTACAGAAGAAGTCCTGGAAGATTCTACAGTGGCCCTCACAGTCACCTGACTCAAACCCCACAGAAAATCTCTGGTAGGATTTGAAGACGGCTGCAGCAGAAAACCCCAAATATATTACTGAACTGGAGGCCATTGCTCATGAGGAATGGGCTAAGATTTCTCAGAAACACTGCCAGAAGCTGGTGTCTGGTTATACATCTCGTTTTCAGCAGGTCATACCAGCAAAAGGGTGTTCTCCTAAATACAAAAGATTCTTGCCATGAAGAGTTTGAATAATTTTGAGACTGCAAAAGTCATTAAAAGTTGCATTTTCAGTTGAATTTGGGGAAACCAGCTATTTCAATTATTTTTGTTTGATTTATTCATTGCAAACATCAGAAAGTCTGTAAATTTTGCCAATAAACCTTATTTGCAATGGGGGTTGAATAATTTCAAACTGAATATGGTCTTCTTAGGGTCAAATCATCTTGTTATCATTGTTTTAGTCCAGCTAATTGGAGCTTTTTGTTCAGACAAGACTAGCAAGCAAAGATATGAGTTACAATTAAAAGACAAAAATAATGAACACTTTCCTGTTACAATAGGCTATATCTTCATAAAAAAGCAGGACAGTAATAAATGAGTGTTGTAACTTGTGGCTATAGCTTTGTATATTGTGTGCACATGAAAAAAAAGATGGAAACAGTGACACTATTTTTCCAAAGGGAACAGGCCGCAGCTCCCGGGTATCTCTCTGCATGTGAGAGCTTAGCACGAGGACCACACGGTCAGATGGCACGTTTTACCAATGGCAGATCAATACTGACCTAGACACCAGGCCAAGGCAATGCACATCTCATCAGATCGGCAGAACCACACACACACACACACACACATCCACACGCACAGCAACCTCTATCAAATAAGCTGCTAAGTTTAATTTTTAGTTCAAGCACAGTTTCAACAAAATAAACTATCAAATACATCAATACAATTTTGTTAAAGATACAATTTATAAAATGTCTCCAGCAAAATATGGAAAGTTTATAATGGCAGGAATTTCTCATTTTGGTGATGAATCTGAAGGACTACAGAACTAACTTTCTGTGACCTCAAAACATGATGAAATCATGGTCAATTCTAAGATTAGGCCAGTACATTTTATATTAAGAAAAAATATATGCATTGTGTTAATTTAAATTATTCATCAATTTCCAATATGTTTACTTTACATTTACATTTATTAATTTAGCGGTCACTTTTATCCAAAGCGACTTACAATTGCTATACATGTCAGAGGTCGCATGCCTCTGAAGCAACTAGGGGTTAAGTGTCTTGCTCAGGGACACATTGGTGTCTCACAGTGGATTCGAACCCGGGTCTTTCACACCAAAGGCATGTGTCTCATCCACTGCGCCATCACCACCATGTTGATGATAAAGAAAGCAGAAGAGGCATTGATTTCTAGAATCTGTCTGAATTTGTCAGTCAAGTCAGTGTGGAAAAACTGGACATGGCAGCTAAAATTAGTATCAAAGCAAATACAAAATATCTGTGAAGATGCTATTGTGAACAATAAGTGTGCCTTGTCAAATTGGGGCTTTCTATTACAGATTAAGACACATTGTGATAACGTGACTCACCTGGTCTGTGCTTGGTGAGTCTGCAATGTCATTCATGCTCCTGCTTTGAGCGTGACCTGCGGACACAGGTACAAATATACACAGAAATGCAATTACAAATATTTCCTCAAAATTATACATATTTAAGTCTTACTCCAACATGATATAAAGCTGACAAGCTTTTTAACAACTAATCTAGCATCACTCACTAACTAATTAAAAATCTACTCTTTCTGGACAGCACTAATGAAAAACCTTTCTATAAAAATGCAAATTAAAAACACATTTTGATTAATTTTTTGATCAACCACATTATCCTAAGCAGAATTAATTCTTTACTTGCTTTTAACCAATTAAAATTGCTTTCTTTCTAGATGAATACAATATGGGTAACAATTTACAATAAGGTTCTAATTGTTAACAATAGTTAACATGAAAAACAAAAATAGTAATCTTGGTTAATGTTAATTTCAACATTTACTACATTATTAAAATCAAAAGCTATATCTGTTAATATTTTTTAATGGACCTGAGGTGAGCTAACATGAACTAACAGTGAACAGTCCTTTTTTTTATTAAAGGGATACTCCACCGCTTTTTCATATTAAACTATGTTATTCCCTTGACTAAGACGAGTTGACAGATACCTCTCTCGTCTCAGTGCGTGCACTCAATCGCTCGGGCGCGCGAGACACTTTGATAGCACTTAACTAGTTCATTCAACATGGGCCAAGCAGAGAGACCAAACACCTCCATGTTTTCCCTATTTAAATACAGTTACATGAGTAGTGTAACTCGACCTAGGACGGTGACACAAAATAAAACGTTGCGCTTTTCTAAGTGTGTAAAGCGGATAACTATATTGTATGGTGGAATACCACAGCAAGTGCTTGGGAGCACCTCAACTCGGCGCATGTATATCTATGGATATACCTGTTGGTATATAGGAAATATTCCTATAGGAATATTTCCCACCTGTTGGTTTGCTGTGTTTGTTGCTTAAGTTACTGATTAAGTTAAACACCTGTTTATCGTTGCTTTGACTGCTTTGGTATAGGGGATTATCACGCTTCCGGGTTTCATGGGCGGGATTTGTCAACTTTGTGCATGTCCACTTCCGCCGCAGTTCAACAATGCCTGAGACGAATGCTATTTATGTCACTACTCTGTTCCACTTTGTAAATCTAACCAACAACGCCAACCCTACGTAAGTTTTCATGGATTCCCGACTGAATTGAGTATAAGGAAGAAGTGGATTAAAACTTTAAAATAAAACAAGGTAACACGTTTGTTTGCAGCCGGCACTTTACTGAATCAGACTAATTTACCAGGGATGCTGTATAAATAAACTTAGTGTAGTCCTTCATCAGTTTGCCAGCGAGATCGGTGATTCAACGGAAGTGGCAGTGCACAAAGATCACAGAATCCGGAAGTACTACGTATCAGCGTGATAATCCCCTATTATATAAAATGAGCTTGCTTCCTGTCAGTCTTTGCTCTGGTAGTTTGGTAGTGTAAAGTTGGCTGTTCCAACCATGTTTTGATCTAGAGAATCCTGAGTGCTGTGTTAAATAAATTGTAAATAGAGGACTGCTGAACTTAAATCTAGCTTTATTTTCTTCCCAGCTCTTCAACCAGTTGTGGCATTAGCAGAATATGCAAATAATACAGTGGCGGGGCATGCATTTCACACCTAGGCCTTCAGTAGTGTCCTACCTGAATTAACAACGTTTAATAGTGTTGCAGCACACAGACTCTCTATAATTGTTTTGAAATTGCTGTTTTTATTTTGTACCGACAATTAGAGGGTTAATGCGGTGAGTTTGGAAAAGGCCGGATAGAGAGAAAGGAGCGAAGCAAGTAAGTTCGGCTTGTGTTTGGTGTGTCAGTGTACAGTGGTTCTTGCGTTCCGATTATAAGTTCAGTAACGGAGCCTCCCTTGTCTTGTCCTTCAAGGGATACAATAGTCTTACTCCCTTAAGAGTGCGTTACAATAGTATGAATGTTTGAAAAAAAAAAAGTAAGTTTCGATCATAAATGTATTGGACAAATTACGAGGAAAATCATATTCATATTGGAAAAAACGGGGGCAAAAAAGGCTCACCAAAACTACTGATTATTTTTTACACAAAATCCATCCTAATTTTTGGTGCTGAAAATTCTGAAAGTTGAGTATGTCCCGTCCTATTTCTGGCATAAGTTTTAATTCACTTTTGGGCTGCGAGTGTCTGCTCGACAGAAGCAGTGGACAGCAAAACATGATAATCTACAGCAGCCCCATACTCTCACACAGATTTTTAAAGGAAATCAGTGAGACATTGCATACATTACAGTCAGTTAATGCTGCTGTTTTTACCCAAGATAGATCGAATAGAGCTCTGTGACTCTGCATTGAGCTGAATAAGTGTTGAATAAGGGATTTTCTCCGGTAGGTTTGAACCTGCTGGGGCTCGAGGAGGGAAAGAAACATAATTTGTGGGTTGAAAAACTATTAAATCTACAGGAATATATTTTAGTTTATGCAGTTCGCTACAGCTGCAGTTCGCTAGCTCTGACTACAAGTAATAGTAGCACGATGTGGATGAGATGTGAAAATTCTAGATTCTGCAGTCAAATCGAAATCTGATTGGCTAATTAAATATTATCTGAATGGTTAAAGCAACTATTTCATTGCCATTCATTTTAAGCTACAGGCGCCCACATTAGTGATTCTGAAGGCCTCAAGGCAGATATCTTTGGCCATGGCAATAATTGATCACTGAAATATTATTGGATAAAAGCTCTAACATAAACATCCACATACTGGAAGCAGCACAACCAAGAAAAGAATGGACTATTGGGAATAGATAAAAATAATAGAAAAATATATGAAGTGCAAGTCAGTGATTCTGATAGTGTTTAGGTCAGCAGAGAAGGCCTTGCTGGCCCTGACGGCTCACCACTTCAGTGATAATAAAAAATGATTGAAAGAGGCGCAAAGACTCACGTAGTCGGCCATAGTTTGCTTGCTTGCTACGCAGATCTTCTGTAGAGCGATTAAAATTTGCTCCAGTGGCAGGAGTTCGGGCTGGGCTCCGAGCTATGAGACACAAACAACATTACTTTTTTTATTATTATTACCTATTAAGCAGACAATGTTTTTTTTCTAATAAGCTGATGTTAATGAACTGTGTGAAAAGAGCAATGAAAGAACCCACTGAAAAAATTAAAATGGGATTGTTCACCAAAAGTCTATCATGATCTACTCACCCTCATGTCACTTACTTCAAACCCATGCGATCTTATTTATGCTCAGGCTGAATTTAACAATGGGCTTGTCAGTCTAAACAACAAAAGTGGATGTGGCCAGTGGCTGTAAAGTTCCAAAAAGGAATAAAACTTAAAAGTAATATGAAGTTTTTGTGTTTTTGTGCTTCCTTTATTTGTTCCTTTTTGGAGCTTTACATTCACTTTGCTCTCGGTATATGGAAGATATGGCCTGAATGCTCTGCTGGATAAACTTATTTAGTTTTTTCAAGAGTTTACACAATATAAGTGTGAGTAGATAAGGATCATTTTTGGATTAACTGTAATTTTAAGACTATTAAAGGGGTCATATGATGACGTTTTCCTTTATCTTTACTGTATCCGTTTTTGCATGCATAAGATCATCAGAGTTACAAGTCTCAAGAAATATTCTTTATAAAATTTAGGCCTCAGCCATGCCCTCCTAAAACGGTTCATTCAAACACACTCCCACAAATATATGTAAGTCTGTAAAGCAGAAACGTAGCCAGAAAAGAGACTGAAAAACAAGATATGCCCCATTTATAGTCAGATTACTGTGCAAAATTATTAACCATAGTCATGCCCCCCATTAACCATAAAACTATATAAAATATAACTATACATTACACTCAGGATCCCCAACAATCCATAGGAGTCGCTCTGAAACCGGCCGTTAAGTTCCATTAGCTGTCTGTCAAGAATGGAAATCCACAGGATTGCAAATCCAAGACAGTCCTAATGGGCGCACACCCGCCCACTCTAGAGGTTACATGCGAGTCGGAAAGCCTGGCAGGTAATTTCTTGTTACATGCACCCATGACTTCATCAGTAAGCCCAATTAATTATCTCAAATTCCCCGTCTGAGATATTCCTAAATGTAGTAAAAGTTTCTTTCAATCAAGTGGACACAGTCAGTAAGAGAAACAGATGGGGACTGTAGGCCTTTTATCACAAATTCACTTGCACTGAACAGCTTAGAAAATGCAACAAGGAGAAAGATGAACCTCTTAGTCTGTATTTGTTGCAAAAGAGACTACATCTATTTTGATCTGGCCTGAGCCTTCTGAAAACTCACTCAGTGTTTCCAATATGACGTCGAACAAACTCAAGACTCGACTCAAAGACTTTTGAACTCCATCTAATATCCGTGGAGAGCACAAGCTCCAGGCAGGGTTTGTCGGGATGTAGCTCTTTTTGAATCTGTAGAAATCGTGCATGTCTGTTCGCTCCAGTCATTAAATGATGCAGTGAGTGAATTTATACCATAAAAAAAGTGACCACAGTAGGATACACTTTTGAGGCTGTTGAAAGAACAAGATTGAGGCGGTGCGAGTGGCAGTGTACATACACTGCATGGGGGAACGTTTTTCTGCACCCCAGCTCTCCTCTCCCAGCTGACATGACTGCCACTCAGTCAAAACTGAAACCCACACACAATTGAATTCAGGATCCAGCTGCAGCGTTCCTGTACTTCCAAAAATTTGCTACCGATGCAAGAGAACGTCATATTATCTGTTGCTACAAATCCAACAGCTCTCTCTCTTAGATTGCCATTAAATATAAACCTCACACAGACAGCAATTAGTTCCTTCTTCGAGAGGTCCTTGTACCCATCAGCTAAAACGGCATAATAGGTGTCAGCCTGTGAATGCTCTGATTTTTCGTCTGAGAAGTGATGCTGCAGTTTCAAAGAGGTGGTTTGAATATCTGGGCTCATTTTTGCATTAACTGGAAGCGGATCAAGGCGTCGTTTTATCTTGGGGTCATATTGACAAAGCAAGGCAAGGCAAGGCAAGTTTATTTATATAGCACATTTCATACACAGTGGCAATTCAAAGTGCTTTACATGGAAGAAATTAAAGAAGTCAGAATAATTAAAACAGTTTAGAATAAAAAAAAAATCATAATAATAAAAATAAAATACAGTGTCGAAAATAAAAATGTACAGTAACAGTCGGACAAACAGTGGCACAGTGCACATTCAGTAAATGCAATCAATATAAATAAAAACAGTTAAGAGTAAAAATAAAATAAAATAAAGTAATACCCCTATCTGAGATGGAAGAGATTGAGCTGGTTTACGGTGCTACTGGGCCTCCAGCCCAGGGACTTCTTATATTCTCGTCAGTAACTTACTTCTTCACTCGCCTCATCGGAGTGAAGACTCTCCCGCTCTCCATCAAGATCTCTTCCAGTATACCCCTATCTGAGGTGGAAGAGATTGAGTTGGTTTACGGTGCAACTGGACCTCTAGCCCAGGGACGTAGAGCGTCGTACGTACTCTGCTTGGGTGGTGCTACACCAGTAATGCCCAGCGGGGCCCCCACAAAGCACTTTAAACAACCCAAAGTTTCCTCTGTTCAGGATATCTATGTCTTCTTTGTGACCACGTAGTGCAATCTCTTGTTTCACACAGAAAAGCAAAATGTCAGTGACAACTTTGACATGTGCCTGGTTTCTTTCAATCAGGTCAGTAAAATGCCCCTGTGCGTCGTCTTTTGTTAACTGATGTATGATGTCACCTTTTCCAGCCCTTTTTATCTCCATGAAACCTTTGTGTAGGAGCCACAGCAGCAGCATGGGCTTTACTGGCTTCATATTATATACAAAACTGACCCAGATGCCCCAAGTCACTTAGTCCTACTTTGCTAAATACAGAGCCGGCGCCAGCCGAGCGCTTATGAGGGGGCGTCTGAAATACCGATAGGGGGCATTAATGCACGTCACCACTTTTTTTTTGCCAGGGTCGATTTCACCACTTTTTAAAACATCTTTGCCGCATGTACCATATACCAATACAAATTGCTAAAACATCTCCAGTTAACTTGCAGAGCATTCATTTTTGTTCTTTTGTCAAATTAGAGTCATTAGAGCGCTGAAATGTTTTTTTTTTTTTTTTAAATCAAGTGATCAAAGTGCTTGCTGCTTCAATCAGGGAAATTTTGAAACACACTAATGATGAAACACAATAATAATACTTTCCATTATAATAAGACAACACGTTTTACACGTTGGATACACATTGTGTCAGTAGCTTTAGTAATTTTGCTCTATTCTTCTTTAGTTCACCGACAATTTACTCATGTATTTCGTGATTAGTGGAGAAATTCACGTGTTATAAATCCAAACCAACTTGGCGCCAACAACAAAATGTCATCCACTTGCACATATTTGACAATTGGAACATCAGTGTTTCATGCTATAGCGAATATATTTGTGAATAAAAAAGGAAAAATTACATAAAAGCTGATCATCATCAACAACCAGTGCTGTGTGTTAGTTGCGCTCTGTCACGTGACAAGCAATAATGCGTCACCATGGAAACATTAAAGTGACAGGCCACTACTAACAACTAGCGGCCACTTTCTTTCATGTATTTCGGGAGAAACTGATAATGTCAAGTGCTGTAAATCCAGCTGACAGGACTCTCTAAACTGTGGCGATCATCTTGTTATATAGATTATAGATCAATATCATTTATAAAGGTTTTTAAACGAAGAATTGAAATATCAGCCACGGTAAATGAAAAAGCGAATTCATCTGTCACTTTGTGTCACTGCGGTGTGTAAACGTTTTAGTAAAGTTTAGTAAAACATTTTTTTAAGACTATCCATTATTAGGCGGCTACGCCAGTGCTGTGGAGGCAGAGTTTCATAACACCACTCAAAAGTGCACGGCTACAGGCAAAGATGCCGCCGGCGCAGCCATTGTGTGGAGACGCTGGGTTTTTCGTTTGCGAAAGCCAAACTCCTTTTTTGGCCTTTTTAAAAGAGGACAAAATTAGAAAACAGTGGTTATGCTTTATTTAAAACACTGTTCAAGAACAGTATAACCAAAATATTAGACTGTGTGTTGTGCATTTTTCAGAGGACTGTTTCCAGAAATAACAGCAACTAACGTTACATCTTTACAAGTACAGTCTGGTGCTTTTGACTCAGACACAGCCACAGTAAGTATGTTTTTATTAGAAGCGAGTTTTGAGCAGTATTGTGCTTGTTTGTCGTTTCTACGATCACAAATGCAGACATGGTTTTATGTAACATAGTGTTCTCACCTCCGTAGCGCAAAACATAAAAAAAATCAGTAAAATGTCCCCAATGAAATAAAACCTTACCAATCTGATTGAGCAAAGCTGATTGATCAGCTTGGTCATCTGCATTTTCCAGATCAGACTTGGGCTCGAATTGATACGGTACTGACATAGAGTGCTGAAGTGATGACGTCACTTTGTAGGACAACTCGGAAACTAGCGGCGCATGGGTTCCCTCGGTCGAAAAGCTATGCATTTTCCCCATAGACTTTTGGAAAATCGCAAAAAAATTAGACCTGTGTTTAACAAGGGTTGTGACCACATTTTGAAGCCTATATAAAGTTTTTATAAACTATAAACTAAAAACTATAAATTATAAACTAAATCTATATAAACACAAGCAGACACAATAAAGTTTAAAAAACCACAAGCAGGTAACTGTGTGTTCTATGTCATAGATCAAAACGTGAAAATATTTAGAGCCTTTGTTCACCACAGACCTTATTTCAGGCGATTTAGCAAAAACCCATTCAAAAATGTGCTAAAATGCTAACTCACTTCCGTGCTTTGGCCTACAAAGTGACATCGTAACTTCGGCACTCTATTATCACCTGTCATTATTGCTTTGAGAGCTGATGTTCCAAATATGATAAAGAAGTGACATTTCCGTCACACACTTAAGGTAGTCGGGCCAATCACAACGGACTGGATCGCTAGCCAATCAAAGAACACCACGCTTTTCAGAACGATGAGCTTTGTAAAAAAAAAAAAAAAAAAAAATCGCCATTTTTCAGAAAGACGGGGCATAGAGGAGCAACAATAATGTACAGTATGTGTAAAATAAAGACTTTAACCTAAAACGGTGTAAACACATTGCATTAAACCAAATACACAAAATAATGTTCATTTTAGAAGCGTCATATGACCCCTTTAAAGAGATAGTTCACCCAAAAATGGAAATTGTGTCATTATTCCAAACCTGTATGGGTTTCTTTTATTGAACACAAAAGACAATAACCATTTCCATAGCATTTATTTTCTGCTATGAAAGTCAATGACTATTGTCAACTGTCAGGTTACCAACATTCTTCAAAATATCTTCTTTGTGTTCAACAGGAACTCTTAATGATGAATAAATGATGAAACAATTTTCATTTTTGGGTGAACTATCCCTTTAAGCAATTAGGCAGTATTCCACATTAAGATGCAAAAAAATTAAAGATTGAAGACTCACTGGGTCCTCCAGAGCCAGACTTGCCCAGATCCGCAAGAGAGCGATGGATTGGCTTCTTTGTCTGGTGTCTGTGCTTTCTCAACAAAACAAAGCTGATTTTATCTCTCAGATCAGGACTGATCAACCCTTCCTCTATCTGACGTTCGATGATGTCATCTGCATGAGACAAAAGTTAAAGTGGTTTGCTTTAAAAGTACATTGGTAGCAAAACAAAATGCACAAACACTGTTGAAAAACATTGATGCATCAAAATAAATAAAAAACACATATATGAATTAAGACGATATCTGTTTAGATTAGATTTAGGATTAGATTGTTCAGAGTACATCAGTAGCCTCCCATCAGATGAAAAGCACCCAGAATAAAGAGCATCATTGCTCACCAACTATCTGTGGGAGTGAATATCCCTCCAGGTCCAGCAGCACAGTGCCCGTCTGTAAGCATGTCCGTAGTTCAAACAGGCTGTGCAGGGAGAGCGTGGAAACGTGGGGTTTGCTCCATCTCTCCCCACCCTCCTCGACCTTTTCCTCAAACTTCACCCACCTGCAGATATGCACAGTCACACACAAAGTTGAAGTCAAGCAGAGAAAAACGAAAATGTAAGTCGGTTTTTCTGTCCTTCCGATGAGGATGCTGTTAGTTTCAAGGTGAAATGTGTCATTTCTGAGCAGAGGTGTCCAAACCTTTTAGTACAAAGGGCCATAAATCAAACTTGATTGACCTTAGGCCAAAAATAAATGTTGCATTATATCCAACCATATTACATTAAAACACTAAGTTTTAAAAATCTAAAAGCACCATTTATAATGGTTACAAATGACAAACATCTCTGCATTCTGACAAAATAAACAAATACTTAAATAGATATCTTTCATTTACAGCTCAGTATATTCACTAGAAGTAATTAATCACATCAGTAGTTATTTTAGCATTTTAAAATGAGCTTTTTTGATGCATTTTGTATTCATTTTGATTAAAAACATTTTTGCTGTCATTTTTTTTTTTTTTGCTTTTCCATTTTGTTTTTAATTATATTGCCGTTTTAGCTTTAGTTCAGTTTTAATTAAAATGTTTCAAATTAATTGTTTTACTTTTATGATAATGATCAAATGATAATTATCGTGCATGGTGTGTTTATGGATACATAATTGTTTTGAAACCACTGAGCCACAGAACTGAAATGATTCTGAGTTTCCAATTGCTGCAAGACTGATGGCATTTGTGATGCTTTTGTGAGTGTGTTTTTATACCTTGCTGATTCTTTCCACTCCAGCTCGTCTCCCTCGTGTTGCAACGTGTCCATCTCAGTGAAGAGAGTGGGTGTGGGCATGGCCTCCTCCTCGTCCCCTAAAATGTAGCGCAGTCGTTCTGCTGCAGGGGACACTGTGAAATGAATAGGAAAAGAAGTGATTGAAAACTTTGTTGCTTGGATCTCGCTCAGTCAGAGACACACAACAATGAAAGTACTTGCTCAAAAGTTAAGAAACAACAAGAATCCCCAATGTGTATGTTTGATAAATTGCTGTGATGATTGCCTGTGCCTGGAGGAAAACCACAGTGTAAGTCATTGTTCATTAATTTTCTGGGTGAGGACTAAGTCTGTGAGCGGTGATTGAAGTTGAGAATCCACACTGTGCTTGTTTTTCTGGGCTTGTTTGAGGTGATGCTGGGGAGCATGTTGCAAAGTCCAAGCCTTTCTGGTCTTTTTTTTTGTGTTTTCATTTAGTGCTCAGCATTTCTCAGCTCTAACACCTGTTCGGTACATCTTTATTTCTTACTATGGTTTGATCATTGCTGCCTGTTTCATCCACACAGAGGCTTCCTGAGGACTAAAGATATGACTCATGAAGAGACGTGTGGAGAACAGAAGCCCATAGATGTCAAGATGTGAAATAGGTGGCGGCATAAAGAGCCGAGAAAGAGTCTTTTGTAATGCCAGTGTACATTCTTGGAAGTCAAAATTTTATGAGAGCCTAAGTGTCTTCAAAATTATCAATTTTTCAGTCTATTATATGTGAAGATTGTTAGACTAAACACAGAGAACACAGCTGACAGAGAAACAGGAGTTTTATTAAAAAGGCAAGAGGCAAAAATGCAAATTGTCCTGCTGTCATAGACGCTTTAATTATCATAAGTCAACAATATACATGAACAAGTGATTACTAAAACTGAATTGAAGTTTAATTCCAAAAATTTTTTATTATTACCCACAGCTGTAAGTGAGGCCAGGAAAGATCAATAACATTGGCTGTGTCCAAAATCACACCCCATACCCATAAATAAGGTGCTATTTAAGTGGACAGTCCTTTGTAGTGGTGTCCGAAACCTAGTGGACAGTATCGAGTGCACTCATTCAATCCCGAAATGTGCACTCAACTGTATATATCTATGCACTCACCGACTAGAGAATACCCATAATGTACTGTGAGGGTCATGCCGAATGAATTCCCGCATTTAATGAATTATTAGTATAAAGTACAGAGTAAAAGGTGTGATTTCAAACAGCTATTGAGTTACATGTCAGCAGCAAATGAGGTAATGGCCTTTTTAGCCTATGTCAGAGGCATTAGTGTTTAAAAAAATGGGAGATTTTCAGTAATAAAGCTGCTTAGACATGATGTGTATTTGTAAGCCAACCAGGACAGCCATTTCGGCATAGTTTCAACATTCATGTTTTGCCCCAAGTCATAAATTATCTTTATTCATCGAAAGTGATTTCTTTCACAACATAAGTTGCTAACAAATAGCTGTTTGTTTACATCAGTCTTGTTATTGTTAAATAAACTATCAAAAGAAATGTTGCCTTGGCAACTAAGTGCTAAAATGACTAAAACTTAAACTGAATACAAATAAATTAAAGCTAAATAGAAATATATTTAAAAGTGCATGTCATGTTATTTTGACTTCAAATATAGCCATTTTGTACATAAGTATATTATTAGTGTGCTAATTTAGCATAAAAGTACAAAATGAAAGTGTTGCGCATTCTCTGAATGTTTGCTCATTTCATTGTTCTGTGCTGACTGCAAACTTTGATGCCCCGTAAGTTGTTTATTCTCAAGCGTTTAGAGATGCATCACCATAATTGTTTTTCATGGTCTTCTATTTTGCAGTGATGACTCTATCCTGCTCTCGGCACAGCATGATATTGAGAGTGAGGGTGTGGGGTATATCTGATAAACCAGGCACAATTCTATTTCACTCACACACACGCACAGAAATGTACTGCAATATTGCTCCCTATAGTCCTCTTGAATTTGCATTCTCACTTTCAGATTTCCTTGAGTCTACTACCTCACAGAGAATTTGAATTGAATCCTTTCTCATCTTTTGCACTTGTTGGATATAGAATCCATTGTGATTTTACAGTACTACCCGTTTTTGTGGGGTCACCAGTCTTTTGGGTCATCATATTGGCAATAAAAAAAAAGTAGCCTAAGTAAAGGTCTGAAATGTTTTCTTTTTTTATCTTGCTCGGTCAAAAGACACAAGTACCATCATCTGATGTAATATACAGGACACACTTTACAAATTCAGAACTGATCGAGGACTCACTGGTTCTGTTGATGTCTGGTGGCAGGCTGAGTTCTGGATTATCCAGGTTTGCAGCCTCTAGATCGTATCGGTCTCTGTCATCACAATCATAGTGTTCTTGTCTGTGATGGTCGTGCCGAAGTCTTCGTTCTACATCTGCATCGTGACTCGAGATGGACGACCGTCTCCGTCTGCGTTTGCGACGGTAACCGCGGGGGACCGGAACACCAATGTAGATGGATTGATGATCTGAGAAAGGCAGATCACACTATGAGCAGAAGCTTAACAACATTGTTCGATATCTTGGATGTCATTGATTTTGAAAAGTAATTTCATCCATAGAACATATTTTGCTCAAGCAAACATGTTCAAGACCAAAAATGGCATGATCTGGTGTAACTATTGATGGAGCCCTCAATACTGACATTGTAGGATCAATAAATAGCCTATTTATTTGAAATAGAGTTTCCAGTTCTGTCAAAGCACAGACATTTACAACAAGAGAATAAGAAAAACATACTGTTTAAATTCACTCTCCTCCTGCCATTCATAAAATTATTAGAACAAAGCAATTATTGGAAGGATCCAATCCAGCAAAAAATGAATAAAGGTTATTGTTATGTTTTTATTATAACGAAAAAGTGTTTGCATAGCATTTCAACATTGATAATTATAAGAAATGTTTCTTGAGTACCAAAGCAGCATATTGGAATGCTTTCTGAAGTATCACATGACAAGACTGGGGTAGTGGTGCTGAAAATTCAGCTTTGCCATCACAGGAATGAATAACATTTTAACATTTCTTAAAATAGAAAACAATTTTCTGTATTTTGGATCAAATACAATGGAGCCTTGGTGAGAAAAAGAGATTTCTTTACAAAATAAAATGTATCGTCCCCAAACTTTTAAATGTTAGTGTAAGTTAACATTTAAAAAATGTTAATGTTAATGTTAATAGAGATGGCCCTGATTCACTGTCAAAAGCAACATGCCATTTATTACTTTCTCCCTTAGGGAAAACTGTTGCTTTTGTAATTGCATGTCAATTTTCCCTCATATTCTTAATATATATTTTATGAAGTATGAAGTGGAGGAAGAAAAAACTGTCTCGTTAATAAGTTAAAGTGAGTGAAAATATGAAGAAAAAAAAACATTTTTAGCGGTTGGCACAGTAATAATAACTCAACTAATTTGAACATAATGTGCTTTGTTTGTACAATGTTTTGTTTTCTTTTTATTTGAGATGGAAAAATGGCAGGATTTTTGTAACACTTTTTTTTAAGTGGGTCTGTCAAATCTTGAAAAGATAATGGGAAGAAAAGGACAGTGGGTTAAAAGGAGCTTGCTTCTGGCCCAGTTTTTGTTTATCCATATTTAGGAGGTGCTCAGTAATTGATAGGAGCATATGTTCAAGTGTAACCTTTTTGAAGCTCACATTTTACAATCTTATAAAAACTAAACAATATAATTATTATGTTTAATAAGCCCATTGTGTCTATCAAAGGTCACAATGTATATGCATTAGATGATATCCAACTACTTACTCATAAAATAAAATAAAAATATTAGCGTTGATGAATCCATGAAAAACCTTTAACATCCATTGAATCTTTCCATTCCACAAAATGTTCTTTATAATGGAAAAGGCTTCTTTGTATTATAAATATGTTATTTACATGAAGAAAATAATTGTTCTTTTAAGAATTATTCAATGGCATCGCTGTGAAATTCTTTTTGGAGTCTTTCTTTAATTTAATTTTATTATTTATTTGTTCGATTTTTTCTCTTTACATTTTTTCTTCAACCAAACAGTGAGTTAAGATAAAATGTCCCAAACTAACCTCACTGCACAACATGTAACAACTGTCATGCTGATTGCATGTGCATCTGCATGCGTGCATGTGTGTGTGTGTGTGTGTGTCTGGTTTCATGCCTAAGGCTACTCACCCTCCTCCTCCTCATCATAGCGGTAACGACTGTTTCCCATGCCTCGATCATGATCCATCCTGAGAGAATGCAGATAAGAAGATTTAATATGGATAAATATGGCAAAGACAGAATGCAAAAAGGTGGTTTTGAGTCTGTGATATGTCAAATGTTGCAAAGCAAATGTGTAATTCTGTGTAAAATCCTGAAAACATTTCAAATCATCACGCTCTCTCGTTATGATTTCATTATGATCATGCACAAAAGAAGGTCAGGGGCATGACTTGAGGCAGTGGCACACACTGGGCATTGAGCTTCCTGCTGAATCTCTGCCAATCACAGATCAATAGTGAAATAATTAACAGAACAAATGCCCGATGGAAAGAAACATAATTACACGACTAGAGGAAAACTCATGTATAACTAAAGGCCAGTCTTTTCCTTTCACTATAAAGCCACAATAATTTTATCGCAGGTTACTATTTTGCAATACGCTTACAATAATAAGCACAAATGAAACTTCCACATTTTAGGAGCTGAATTACTGAGATTTAATTACAACTGTGAAAATTAATTACTAGTGCCTGTTGGCTTTTAAAGATACAATACAATACAATAAATGTGCAATAGGCTTTTTGTGAACACTACACACTGTGTAAATTGTTTATGCTTCAAATCAATCTAGCTCTTTTGCAATTTGAAATGAAAATAAACTAACGTTCAGAAGTTTTTGAAATAAATGAATCCTTTTTGTCAGCAAAAATGATGCATTAAATTGATCAAAACTGACAGTAAAGACAGTTACAAAAGAGTTATATTTAAAATATATGCCATTCTTTTGAACTTTGTATTCATCAAAGAATCCTTTTTTTTCACGGTTTCCACAAAAATAGTAAGCATCACAACTTTTTTTAACATTGATAATAATTAATAAGGATATTAATAAAGGATCATGTGACACTGAAGACTAGAATTGCCAGTGTTGGGGAAAGTCAGTTAAAAGTAATGCAGTACAATATTGTGTAACTCCCAAAAAAAAGTTACTTATTGCGTTAATCGTTACATAACTTGTGCATTACATTTTCTCACCTGGGCTGGACTTGCTTGTTTTTTTTTTTAATAACAAAAAAAGTTCAATTTTTGGCAAAAAGTTAAAGGTGCTCAAAGCCATGTTGGGTAACGTCCCTTTTTGATGACGTTCGAAGTATTGTCAAACAAAATGGAGGCAACTAATTTAAAAAAGTAACTTAGATACTTTGTTGTAAATTAAAAAAGTAATGCGTTAATTTACTAGTTACTTGAAAAAGTAATCTGATTACATAACTAGTCACTTGTAATGAGTTACACCCAACAATGAAAATAGCTCCTGAAAATTTAGCTTTGCTATCAAAGGAAGTTATATTTTAAAGTACATTCAATAGAAAACAGTTATTTTAAATTGTAAAAATATTTTATAGCATTACTGCATTTTTGATCAAATAAATGCAGCCTTGGTGAACAAAAGAGAATTTCTTTAGTAAAAACCTCTTGCCGCCCCCAAAATTTTGCACAGTAGCCAATACTTAACCAAAAAAATGTTTATACCTTGTTTTGATCATTAAAGCAGGATATTGACTGAGGGCCTCCAAAGTAATGACCAACTAATACATATATTATGCACCGTAATGATCTATTTTTTCCCCAAATGTTCCTACTTCTCGAACACTTATTCAAAGGATTGCACTATAATTCTTGCTCAGATAAGCATGAACTTGCTCAGGAGAGGAATCATAAATTTGTAGATTTTAATAAGGAAGCATGGTGTTGCATTTGATTAGCTTTGTTGGGTTCCAAACTGGATAATTAGTTGTCACATTGGTGTCCTTCACACCCAGTGGCCAGCAGAGCCAGAGAGAGAGAACAATGGTGAAAGGGAGAGAAAGAGAAATGCTGTCGGCCATCCTCTTTCGCAGGCTCAATCAATTGGTCCCCATTTGTACTCAACCCACTTACAGAACTGGCCCAGTATCCTCTCTCTCTCCTGCATGTGTCACTCTAATTCTTTTTGCTAACCTCCCTATATTCTCTTTCACTTCGGGCGCTTTCACTCAGTCTAAACAGAACAACATTCACAAATTAATTGGTAATTTCCCTCCCTTCAGTTTCACCTGCTCATTAGTTTATGGGCAATTTTTAGTTCTGACATTGTTAATTCACCTTAAACAATTTACTTTTCATTACATTTTACTGCTGAAGACGCAGAGCTTTGGGCGCTTGAGAGTGTTTTGGCAGCGCAGCGTTTTTTCCGTTGAGAGGTTTTGTTGCTATGATAAAAAATATCCGCAGCACATTTTACTTGAAACTGATTTTGCAGATAATTTGTTTCATTTTAAAAATGTATTTTTCATCCATTTTGTTCGGTTAGCTCTGCTGGTTGATGTCGTTGTACAGAAAGAATGTTGTGACAATTGGACAGTGTGGTTTAGTCCCACCCCCCCCCTCCAGTGTGATTGGACGGCTGGGTAAAAGTGACAGTGATGAGCGATGCGTTTTATCCAAAGTTGAACATTTCTCTCGGCGACCAGTAAAAAAGGCGCTTCAGCGCGAAAAAAAAAAAAAACGCTCAGCGCCTTGTTACACCGTGTCTTAACTACACACGACGCAATAAAATTCCAGCGACAGCAAGTGTGTCTGTCCACACCATAGACGTCCACACTAGACGCGACGCAACTAGTCAATCAAAAAAAAAATCACAGCCATTCAGAACAGTGTGTGGGCGGAGTCTCTCTATAGATACAGTCGGCAACGCGTCATAGTTGGGGGGCGTGGTCGGCGTGGGGGAAAGCAGCGCGACCATCCTATGTATTTGAATGACAAAAATGTCATATTGCGAGTCATTTATGCCTGCCGACCGGCAACGATACATTGCAAATTTAACTGTAATAGGTTATGATTGCCCTTATTTAATTAAAAACTGGGCCTATGACCCAACCAAATGGCCGGAGGTGTCGTTTCCAGACTATTATATCTGGTTGAATCTTCAGGTAAGACATCGCGGAAGCTACCGGCAACACAAGCCTGTAACTCAATCAACTTGCGTATAAGTTACTATAAGTCCATAAAACCATGTCACTTACCAATTGTACGTATGCTTCACTCCAAACTATTAATCCTTTTGTAAAACGGTGATCAAAGTAGTCGCTACGAAGTTGCAGAGGGACTTTGCTGACAGTTATCCGAATTCTCACAGACTGCAGTCTGATAACCTTCAGCTGATAACGCTAATAACATCCCTTATGAAAAACAACTAAAGGAATCTTGTAGTATTTTAGGACAAACTATTATAGTAACGTTAATCCTATAGGAATACTATAGTATTTTGGGACATAGCCTAGAAGTATAGGTATTAATGAACATCACAGAAGTATTATACACTACTATAGAATACTAATAGCCATAGGATTACTATAGTTCTTTTTCGTAAGGGACGTAACGTCAGACAAATCTGGCCCACTGCCTAATACGAGTTAAACATCTACTACTATATCACACAGGGACCTCTACTCACACAGTAATCTAATAAGATATGATTAATTTTGCCATTTTGTCCTCCTATCCGGTTCTGCATGTATGTAAGAAAGGCTGTAGAACTTCAATTTGTAATTTGTTAGTTTATTGGTGGTACAGAAAACGACACCGCAACCCTTCGGCATGATTGTCCCATGTATTTCAATGAGCGCCAAGGCAATGATTTCCCCCACGGGCTAAATTCACACCACGTGACGGGGCGTTCCCGGGGGCGTTCCCAGACCAACCGACTGTATCTATGAAAGCGCACTGCTGGCCTGCACTCGCATTGGAAATGGGTAAGGACATAATCAAATCAAGAAATAAAATTATTAAAAATCAAAACAATAACGAAATATACTCATTGGCTAATTTTGTTATGAAGTACAGTTGTATGTTTGCATAGAATTCATTTTGAACGAAATTACGTCAAAATCTGACGTAAATTATCCATTAACGCTTGTGACACAGTAACCTAATGCCTTTAAAATTCGGCAATCAGTTCCTCGTCGTCCATGTTTGATGATTAAATATTCATGACACGCAGAACTCCCATCCAATGAGATCTCTGTGTGGGCGGATCTGTCAGCCGCGACGTCGCAGAAATAAGAACCGTTAAATTAGCAACTTCGCGTGTCGCCGTCGCGTCTGGTTAGGACAAAAACTCTGGTTAACATGGAAGAGATACCTTTTTCGCGTGTCGCGGCGTCGCGTTGCGAGTAGTTAGGACACGGTGTTAGGCCAATTTATACTTCTGCGTCGAGGGTACGCCGTAGTGTACGGCGTTGGCTTCGCACGTAGGCGACGCCGTTGTGAGCATTTATACTTCTGCGTTCAGGTATTGGTTGCTCTGCAGTACTGCTCCGAAACGCTAGGAGGCGGCGGAGGGTTTTAATGTTCCACTGTGTTTAGATTCCTCGCGGCTAGGTTACTACAAGCAATAGCGACTGAAAGAGAGTGGATCATGTTGGAGTTGGAGCTTATTGGGGTGAAAAAACAGTTCATTTTAGTGAAATTACTAAAACTGAAAGGCAGAAATGAGAGAAGACGTCGGAGGAGATGGTACGTGTGGAAATGCGTGAGAAGGTACGTGCGGAAATGCGTATGAGGAAATACGACGCTACCAAGCCGACCAATCACCGATCTTGCGGTCCGCGTCGTCGCGACGTGTAGTTACATTTTTGAAGAGGTGCGCGTCAGGCAACGCGGAAGGGTACGCGGTATGGGACGCGTCTGTGCGTATGCTACGCCGTACCTACTGCGCGCACCCTACGCAGAAGTATAAATTGGCCTTTACGCTCATGCCGTTTAAAAAACGCGACGCTCCCATTGAAAACAAACGCTAGGCACGTGGAAAAATGCTTTGGTGGACACACGGCCTAAGGCTGAATTGAATTGATCAAAAATACAGTAAAAAGTGCAAACATTTTGAAATTTAAAACAACTTTTCTATTTGAATATATATATTTAAATAGAAAACAGTTGATGATTTGGTGTTCAATTATTTCTTATTATCAGTGCTGGTAACAATTGTGTTGCTTACAGTTTTTCTCAATCACTTGGGCTCAATGAGTTTTTATTATTAAAACTAGTTTCTTGTTTACATCACATTTCTTGTTGATTTAAGCAAATTGCATGTGTTTTGTCACATGAAATTGTCAAACTCTTCACAACGTCTAAACATTCTTTCATCATGACAGCCATCGCATTCAAAATAATCCATTTAGCAATCAAAATCTTCTAAACATGCATGTATATTCCATAAATATCTGACATGGAATGTTAGTAATGTCTGTTGACAAAAATCCAGAAATTCTATTGAAATAGTAATCACAATCTCACTAATTAACCAATAAAATTTGGAAGCATAAACATGGAGTTTTCCCAGCACAATCACTACTATTTTTTAACATGGAGGAACATCACAACCCCATACAACAGCAGCTACAGCAGTACATTTCTTTATGTAGAAATGTGTTACACATAAACTGAAAATTGGTGTTAGGGTAAGACATAATGCAGTGTGTAAATATGAACAAGCAACTGTGAGAAAGCCCTAACCACGCCCCCTGAGTGATTCGTATTATACACATAGACTGTAAAATACAGCGATCAGCAAGTTGTGAACATGAAAAATTGGCAGCTGACTTACAAATCAGGTGGCTGGTCTGTTATTGTTATTTGTTTCTATTTAGTTTATTAAAGACCACGCATTGTGAAGTAACATGTGCAAAACTCGTTTAAATAAATCAATTAAACTGGGATTCCATCTCGTGTTTCTCTTACCGGAAACACACAACACCGTCAAACACACAAAAAAATTGTTTAAAAACAAGGTGATAATTAATTATACAACTTAATATGATTAATTTGTCTACTTTATTATATGTTAACTATTGAAATTAATGTCTGAGATGTGTCATGCATGAACATATTGGAAATGCTCTTATATAAATTACGTTACGTTAAATTAAAGTACGTTTATTTTGAAAGTTAAATCCAGAGAGAAAAATGACGCTAATTGAGTAATTATGTACAAAAGGGATGGGCATAATAAGCATAGGTTTCAACCTGACACCTTTTTTTAGGTTGTTATGCATGCATGTATATCTGTACAATGATTCAAAATAAATAATTGAATTGAAATTTACAGACACAATAACTAGGTCTTGAAGCATGAATTTAATATTTTGGGTGAGTAACTACATTTTGCAAACATGCAATATATTTCTGATGTTCCAGCAAAAATGTGTGACTTGAACTCTAGAGTTTCGATGAAAAAAATACCAAAGCGATTAAGAAAAACTGATAAAGAGATAGTTTAAAAGTACATTTTCTAACATAGTAAATGTCTACTGTCTGAATAAAAGTATAAAATTAATTTAAGTATTATTAGTACATAGATAGATAGATAGATAGATAGATAGATAGATAGATAGATAGATAGATAGATAGATAGATAGATAGATAGATAGATAGATAGATAGATAGTCCGTCTTACCTCACAAACACACACTTCTAAAGATTAAAAGTGCACACAATGATTTACACTGGCAACGGAGACATCGAAACAACCAAAATGCAAATAAAAGCATATAGCTATGTCACAGAACCCTAACATCATATTTCATGTTGCTCAATAGATTATCAAAATTTCCTTCAGATAGAGCTACATACATAATGAGGTATTAATTTTTGTTTTTGTAATTAAACTCTTACCTGATCTCAGTAGCAGTGCACAGATGGAGAGGTAAAAAGCAAATGAAAAGGACTAATCAATACAGGAAATCACTGAGGATCACAACTCTATGGGGCACAGGACAAAAACTGAACATGTTATAGAACTAATCTGCAACTCTCTCTCAGTTAATCACTCTTCACATACACACAGAGACACACCCACTCATGTTAACACATCCACAAAGTGTGAGTCAATGGTATGGACTGATGACAAGGTCGAAAAGTAGATAACTGGGACTCAGGCAAATGGACCATTGAGAGCTGTGTTAAGGGACATTACTGACTCACTGTGCACTCTCATGTTGACATCTGTTCATTTACTGAGACTATTCACTCTGTAAGGGAGGGTTTCCCTTCACCAAATCCTTCGCAAAACATTTTGAACTGGTCGCAATTCTGAAGAAATAAAAGTCTTACAATGACCATCATGACGTTATTTGCTTAAATTGGTCTAACCCATATTTTTATTGTAAGTAAACATTTAAAACATTGATATTTAAAGAATATATTTAGCATCACATAGTCAAATTAACTAATATCTCAGACCTAGCCATACTTACCAAAATGTTATTCTTTTCCTCTCTGTGCCTTCTGTCCTACAGCTGGTATACTCGATTTTGTGGCCCCCGGCTTTTACTTTTTTTTTTTTACAAACACAAATGACAGGATAATGTTAGGATATGTGCTTTGACATTTATTGACTACTCGGAAAAATCCAATTCATAGCAGATGCTGAACTGAGTCCACAAACTCAACGCTCTGTGAACATCAAAGCACACACACACACACACACACAAAATCAATAACGAATAGAGACTCAAGATAACCTGTCCAGCAGCTCGTTGGTTGATGACCTCATCCTTCAGGATACTTCCTCCTTTGCGATTCCTGTTGACCTGGACTGATCCTGGTAATAAAGTCTTTTAAAACATTTTCCAGACATTTCAAAGTCTTTGGGCTGTAAAAAAAAAGAAGCTTTTTAGAACCTTTGACACAATAAATCAAGTATAATTTGTAAAACATAAATCCATTTAGTAGAACGATCGATAACACTTCCATTAACACTCTCACTGAAAAATACTTCTAAAGCAGGGGTGCTCGATCCTGTTCCTGGAGATCTATCTATCTGCAGAGTTCAGATCCAACACGCCTGCCTGAGAATACCAAGTGCTCCTGAAGATCTAATTTATCTCCTTCAGTTTTGTTTGATCAGGGTTGGAGCCTAACAGGAAGTTAGATCTCCAGGAACAGGATTGTGCACCCCGGTTCCAAAAGCATTTATTAATCTCAGTTAATGTTCATTTTACCATTTACTTATACATTATTAAAATCAAAAGTTGTATCTGTATATTATTTAATGGACCTGAACTATTACAAGGTATCCAAGATAAGTCACCAACACTATCATCCGTTTTATTAAATACATCGCCATCGGCTAAAAAGTGATTAACCGAGTCCGTGCCACAGTTCGACTGCAAACGAGTGCAGATCACCTCCTGTAGTGTCCAACCTAGTTATCAACTAGAACCAAACATGCTAAGTGTGAAACTGTAAGCTTTTAAGTTGTTAAAAACTATTCAAATCTGATAAAATCATTAGAACACCGCTGACAACACGTTTCTGTGCAAGTGTGTGTCTGTACTCTGTGTGTGCGTTTGACTGGGAAAGAGCGGAGAAAATCATGAATAGTTTCCCTGAAAATAATTGCACGCCTTTGAAAGGTCATCAACCAATCAGATTTAAGCATTCAACAGCCCCTGTAGTATAAAAGCGATTAATGTTTTGTACAACATCACTCTTGATATCACTCGTACAAAAGTGTGTTCGACATTGCATAAATATAATACAAAAAAAAAAAATCATACGTTATTCAATGTAGATTATAAATAATTTAGGTGTCCACAATTAAACGTCAGGCATGACACTGTCACTCTTTCTTTCATCATCCACACAAAGTCCTTATTGACAGTCAATCAGGGATACATCTCATTACTGCCAGCAGAAACTCACTCATCATTCAATGGACTGCTCTCAATCAAGAATATTTCCAGCAGAAATGGCTTGTTGATGAATATGAAAAGCCATTTTCTTTGTGTGGCATACTGGAAACTCATGACAGAATCTTACATTGCATTTGTATAAGTAATCAGGGACACTCAATGATATATTCATTGCCTAGATTGGATTCATTTTGCTGTCCGGAGCATGGCAGTCCCAGTCTGATTCGTTCAATGATAACACCATATGGGGTTTTTTGTCAGGAAATGATAAGAGGCATATTGCCTAAGGGACAATGGCAAGGCAGGCACAGTCAATAGCTATTACACTTCTAGTAAACCTCAGAAAAACGAATACCAGCGAACCTAAATATAAAATGCAAAAATTAAACTTTTCATCTTGCACTTTTGCACTAATTTAGGATAAAATCTGTATCGATTCATTCAAATATTTTGACCTTAAAGATGCAGGTTTTCTATAAAACCTTGCAGTTGCACAGGTGATGCAAAGTTGGGAAGGGAAGAAAATCGGCTAGTCTACTGAGAATTGGAGGGCACAGGTGCTAGAAAACCAGCACAATTTCCTGTCATTTACAGTTCAGATTGTTCTCTCATTATCTTCTTAGGTTCATTTAAAAGGGGTGGTTGATTACGATTTCACTTTTCTAACTTTAATAGTACCAAATAGTACCCGGTCGTCATTGCAACGCCTTTCATTCCTCGTTGCCCCATCAGGCTCTTGCTGGATCCTCTCTTCGGCAACCAAACAAAGGAAAGTCTGCACCCCCGCGTTTGACCACGGTGTAACCAAAAAACCAAACAAAGGCGACCCGAGGCGAGTTGAGTCGACCTGGGACTGTGTAGTGGAAAAGCGCCATTACAACAGTTCCCAAATGAGCGATTTCTAGATCATCATGACAGAATATGCTAATCAATGACTTGAAGATAGTTGAAGGTGCCATAGGTAATTCTCGGTGGAAGGCGTAACGTTAGAACCATAAAATGTCCGTTCAATCGTTGCGGTAGCATGTGTTCCCTGTCGGCCAATAATGTGTGTTTGCCAACGGGGCTCTCAAGTGTCACGCATTGAGAGTGACAGTCACTCATTTCGGTCTCGCCACACATTGTATTTCTCACGTGGAAAAAAATATTTATAATATATTTAATATGCCTGCAGCGCCCACATTTTTTTTTTCTTCTGCATGTCTGAGTGATGTTAATAATTAAAAACTATGGAAGCTTGTTTCCGCCACTGAATAAAAAAATATAATAAATAATTGTGACTTTTTATCTCACAATTCTGACTTTTTTTCTCACAATTGCGAGTTTATATCTCACAATTCTGACTTTATTTCTCAGAATTGCGTGATATAAAGTCGCAATTGCGAGACTAACTTTTTTCCCCCCTCAGAATAGTTTAAATCTCACAATTCTGACTTTATATCATGCATTTCTGACTTTATAACACGCAATTGCGACTTTATATCTCGCAATTCTGACTTTATAACTCGCAATTCTGACTTTATATCTTGCAATTCTGACTTTATAACTCGCAATTCTGACTTTATATCTCGCAATTCTGACTTTATATCTCGCAATTCTGACTTTATAACTCGCAATTCTGACTTTATAACTCGCAATTGCGACTTTATATCACGCAATTTGGACTTTTTATCTCGCAATTGTGAGAAAAAAAGTCAGAATTGTGAGATAAAAAGTCGCAATTATTTACTTTATTTTTTTATTCAGTGGCGGAAACAAGCTTCCATAAAAAACAACATAAACACTATCATAATAATAATATCAATGACACACCCCCATTTCCCCGACCTGAATTGTCATGCAAGAAATATTAGCAACACATCAGTTTTGCTAGTTAAAAAAACGAAAACTTGCTGCATGTAGAATTTGTTTATGTTTGGTGTTTAGTGTTACTATCTGTAGGAGCCTACTATAAAAACCTAACGTTTCTCACTGGAGAATGCCCATGATATTGCAGTAACTTTATCTTCGGTCTTCTTGGGTTGTGGAGGCACTGGGCTTTTACTCACAGCATTGTGCTAATGCTATAATTACTGTGGTAAAATCACATTCATTCAGTGGCATTCGCAACTGATTTGTAAAGTAAACATCAAACTAACTGTTACACCTAACGTTACACAATCACTTTGATAAATTAAAAAGATCTTTAAATATAACACTACAACACACCTGGATTACGACGTTCAATGTCACTCCTTCCTCATTTTAGACATGTTCAACAACAGAACCGTTACATAAATTCATCAACTAACCATTCAGAAACGTCCTGTTGCATTCTATATGTTGTCACTTCTTCTTGAGTCTATCCATCATTGTCTGAAGATAATGTGTCGATTATGATTTTTTTGAACATAAAAAGCAGGTTTCAAACATGCATATCTGCTATTTATAAACACACAAGCTATTGAAGCTCTGCCCTCAGTGGCGGGAGCAGCAGCTCTTTTGCATTTAAAGGGACACACATATATTATGGTTTGAAGAACATTTTCTTTTCTCATTTCTCACTGTTCAAAGAGTTCTGGCATCGGCCCATGGCCAAGTTCAGCAAGCAGCTGTGAAATGGGCGATGGTTCTAAAGACGGTTACATGATCAAAATCACCTGGGGTCAACAGGGGCATTTGCATTACAACCACACTGGGCCCATCACAAGCGCTACCCTATAGTCATTTCACTGACGAAAATACAAGGAACTGAATGTCCTGCAGCTTTTTAATGTTTTATTTTGTTCTTTGCCTATTTCAAAGACACCGGCCTCGGATCCAGACTTTAACCCAAACAAATTCAAATCCCTATTGTAGTTTTTACTTACACTTATCTCATAGCTTGCTGTGATTCACAATCCCCTCAGAGATAGATTGGCTGGGTTCATTACTTACACAATTTAAGCTGCAGCCGGAATGAGCCGCATTCCCTCTCGAGACGAAAAACAAAAAGCTTCTGCCTTTTAATATTGTATTACACTTTCAGAGTTGGAAAATGTTGATACTCAGGTCACTCCTAACTATCCAATAAGCCTAATTAAATCCATTTTGAACCACATCAAAATCTTGGGGAGGAGAAAAACAATATTTTCCCTCTGTATAGTGCCTTGGGAACTATTTGTACTCCACATTTTGTTTTGTTCATGCTAAACTGCTTTAAATTATAGCATACTTATTCCCCACATTAATCTACATTACAATGACAAAGCAAAAAACAGATTCTTGATAACTTTCCAAATTTATTAAACATAAAAAAATGAAAATATTGCATTGCATTATTCGTATCCTTTTGTGGGACACTTACCCTCGGTTTCACAGACAAGGCTTAAGTCCCAGACTAAAATGCACGTTTGAGATGTTTT